GAGGAGGAGGAGGAGGAAGAGGAGGAGGAGGAGGAGGAGGACGAGGACGAGGAGGAGGAGGAGGAGGGGGGGGGAGAGTACCAGGAGGAGGAGAACGAGGACCACCAGGAGGAGGAGGAGGAGGAGGAGGAGGAGGAGGAGGAGGAGAGAACACCAGGAGGAGGAGGACGAGCAAGACGAGGAGGACGAGAACGAGGACGACCAGGAAGAGGAGGAGGAGGAGGAGGAGGGGAGGGGGAGGACTACCAGGAGGAGGAGGAGGAGGAGGAGGAGGAGGAGGAGGAGGAGGAGGAGGAGGAGGAAGAGGAGGAGGAGGACGAGGAGGAGGAGGAGGAGGGGGGGGGAGAGCACCAGGAGGAGGAGAACGAGGACCACCAGGAGGAGGAGGAGGAGGAGGAGGAGGAGGAGGAGGAGGAGGAGGAGGAGGAGGAGGAGGAGGAGGAGAGAGCACCAGGAGGAGGAGGACGAGCAAGACGAGGAGGACGAGAACGAGGACGAGCAGGAGGAAGAGGAGGAGGAGGAGGAGGAGGAGGAGGAGGAGGAGCAGGAGAAAGAGGAGGAGGAGGAGGAGGCAGGCTGAGGCTGAGGCTGTGACTGCGACTGCCGTTGCCGCTGCGACTGTCATCGCGAATGCGACTACGACTGCGAGAACAGCAGAATTCGACAACTGGATTTTCATCTGAATCTTAAGGGGAATGCTTTCAGATATGCTTCTACACATCGCTGTTAGGTTGCTTTGCCGGGATAATTTATTTTTCGTCGAAAACTCCCCTGTAGGGGGACACGCCCGACTTAAAGGTATCATTAAGTTAGGCCTGTCCCTCTACAGGAATGTTCAACAATACTCCAGAGATAGGTGCGGGACAACATGTTGGCATATTTGAACTAGTTCGGGGGGCATGTGTTGTCTATTTTTCATTTCCCGTCCAAGATCCGCCTGTTGTGAGAGAATGGCAGCGCGTGATGCTTGACCAGGGCCCCTCGCATGCTAGTGGGGGTCAGCCTTTCGGAAGAAAGCTCGATTCCCTGGAATTGTCCTGTTCAGGGCCGTGTCCGTCTCACCAAACATGTATTGCTTGGCTTGCGCTTTCTGCAATTCCTTCTTGGAAATTCTTTACGCTTCGCGTATCACCACCAGCCCATCTCACAACAGCAACTCTTGCGAAGCATGCCGACAGTTGTGTTTTTCAGGCGTGTGTCCGCTTTGCCCCGCATATCTCCCCTGTTCCTCCTTCCTCCCGCCTCCTTGTACATCCTCCTTGTGGGGGCAGCGGGAGAAGGACGAGGCGGAGGAGGAGGGAGAGAAAACGCTCCTCGTGGTTTGAGTCGTTTGGGGTGTCTCGTCCTGGTGTGAGTCGTTCGGGCCCTTCTTCCTGGTGTGAGTCGTTCGGGCTCTTCGTGGTGTGAGTCGTTCGGGCTCTTCGTCCTGGTGTGAGTCGTTCGGGCTTCTCGTGGTGTGAGTTGTTCGGGCCCCTCGTCCTGGTGTGAGTCGTTCGGGCCCCTCCTCCTGGTGTGACTCGTTCGGGCTCCTCGTGGTGTGAGTCGTTCGGGGCCCGCGTCGTGGTGTGAGTCGTTCGGGCTCCTCGTGGTGTGAGTCGTTCGGGCGCCTCGTCCTGGTGTGAGTCGTTCGGGCCCCTCCTTGTGGTGTGAGTCGTTCGGGCTCTTCGTGGTGTGAGTCGTTCGGGCCCCTCGTCCTGGTGTGAGTCGTTCGGGCTCCTCGTGGGGCCTCTTGGGGGCCTCTTGGGGCCTCTTGGGGCCTCTTGGGGGCCTCTTGGGCGCCTCTGGGGAGCCTCTTGGGGGCCTCTTGAGCCCTCTTGAGGCCTCTTGGGGGCCTCTTGGGGGCCTCTTGGGGACCTCTTGGGGCCGCTTGGGGGCCTCCGGGGGGCCTCTTGGAGGCCTCTTGGGAGCCTCCTGGGGGCCTCTTGGGGCTATCTTGGGGCCTCGTGCGACCTCCTCAGAAGCGCAAATGAGAGCTGCCCCCTGAGAAGGACAAAATGAACCCAAAACCATCGTAAAATCAATGATTTTGCTATGAAGGAAGATGAGCGCGGCTCCCTCCGGACGCCAACATGGGGCCAAAACCGTAGTAAAATCAATGATTTTTGCTTCAAAGACGAGCGGGGGGGCCAAACTCCCTCCCCCCGTCGGGGCCAGAATCCTCGTGAGGGTCGTCGTTTTTTTGCCCTCCCAGGAGTCGAAAAAGACCCCCCTGGCGACGCCCCGGGGTCCCTCTCCAGGCCCAGGGGGAGGGGGTAGGGGGAGGGGTAAACCCCTCCCCGAAGGGGAAGAAGGGGGGTTGAGGACAGAGCGGGCTCTCTAAACCACTCACGCCCCAAGGGCTGGTGGGATTCGTTGCCCAGATCAGCATTTTTCCCAGAACATGTTCTCTTAGTTTGCCCTTCGCGCTTCTGACCCCCAGAAGTCCAGGGCTCATTTCGACTCCTCCGGCTCGATTCCATTCGATTTCGAACGATTTCGATTCCGATTCGACTCAACTTAGGATTCCGATTGGGATTCTTGTTTCCCAACGGAGGCTTTATTAGCCTGCTGATTTCTATCGGTTCAACTTCTCCCGACTGGGCCGCCGAGTTCCGCAGATCCGATGCACTTCGATCGCCCTTCCGACCTGTGGATTCGATTCTGGGCTCTCCTGCCGCCCATTGGCAGGCGAGTGAATACATCTCCGCGGAGGGGGAGGGGGAAGAGGAGGCGGAGGAGGAGGGGGAAGAAGAGGAGGAGGAGGAAGAGGAGGAGGAGAAGGAGAAGGAGAAGGCGGAGGAGGAGGAGGAGGAGGAGGAGTAGGACCAGTGTAAACCCAAGACTCATCAACGATGTCGGGAGACCCTCTCTCCAAGCTCCACCTTCAGAGGCCCCTACAAGGGTTCATTTCTAGTGAGGGAATTGCCTCTTTGGGGGACACCCGTGTGAAAACCCTGAAGCGTACCAAATCGTTATTCTCAGGATTTCGAGGGCACGATTTAACTTGACTGGCACGTCTTGGCGATCTTGAATCGTGCCAAAACACCATTCCTGGGACTTGAGCACCGCGAATCAGCGTAACTGTCGCGCCCTGACAATCTTGAATCGTTCCAGAGCACTATGCCTGGTACGTTAACCATGAGAATCAAAGACACCCTTGCGATGTTTAAAACCAGTGTGCGTGGCGCTAAGGCGAGAGCCACGTCTTGAGAACGGACCGCCCTTAATCCGTCAAGTTCTTGCGATTGTTTTGAATCAGTGTGCGCGGCGCTAAGGCGAGAGCTCTATGTTGAAAACAACCCGCCCTCAATCCGTGAATCTTCTGCAGATTGTTAAAATAAATGTCGCTGCGCTAGGGCGGGAGACATAGGTTGAAAGCGGCCCGCCTTCAGTCCAGGGAAGTCTCCCGATTTTGTTCGAACGAATGTGCGCAGGCCCCCAGGCAAGAGCCACATGTTGCAAACGACCCGCCCTCAATCTGTGAAACGCTTGCGATGTTTTCGAATCCATGTGAGAGGCGCTAAGGCGAGAGACACATTTTGAAAATGGCCCGCACTTTATTCTGCACGAGAGTGCGTGGCGCGTGGGCGAGAGCCACATTTTGAACACGACCCGCCCTCAATACGTGAAACTCATGCCGATTGTTCAGCTCCAGGATCATAAGCGGTGAGGAAGTTTCAGGCGACACGCCAAGTGCGACAGGGAGGAATCAGCTATGAGGGGAAATAGTGGAGGAGGAGGAAGACGACAAGTGGAGAAGGAGGAGAAGGAGGAGGAGGAGGAGGTAGGAGGGGGAGGAGGAGGAGGAGGAGGAGGAGGAGGAGGAGTAGGAGGAGGAGGAGGAGGAGGAATGGGAGGAGGAGGAGGAGGAGGAAGGAGGAGGAGGGAGGAGGAGGGAGGAGGAGGGGGAGGAGGAGGAGGAGGAGGAGGATGGGGAGGGAGAGGGGGAGGGGGAGGGGGCAAGCTAGGTGCGCTCGCGTCATATCTGACGTCCTACCCTCCCTCCCATCCCTTACCATGGCGCTGATTTCTCTATCCGCGGACGCGTGTCGTAGCGGACCTGTGGCTCCGCGCGCGCGTGCGTAGTGGGTGGTGGTGCACGTGCGTGCGTGCGTGCGTGTGTGCGTGGTTGTGGTGGTGGTGGTGGTGGTGGTGGTGGTGGTGGTGGTGGTGGTGGTGGTGGTGGTGGTGGTGGTGGTGGTGGTGGTGGTGGTGGTGGTGGTGGTGGTGGTGGTGGTGGTGGGGTGGTGTGGTGGTGTGGTGGTACTGGTGGTGCGGTGTGTGGGTGGTGGTGGTGGTGGTGGTGGTGGTGGGTGTGGGTGCGGCGCGGTGGTGGCGGGCGGATGGGCGCGCGAGAAAAAGGCCCGCGCTGGGGCGAGAACGCCATCCTGAACGACGGAGGCCAAACACCGATCCGAAAATGAGGCCCACGCTGCAGCGGGAGCACGATTCGGAACGATTCGGGAGCAGAAATGAGGCCGCCGCCTCAACGAGAGCAGCATTTTGGGAAAAAATGACGCTGGCGCCTCAGCGAGAGTCGTTTCCCGGGATTTCCCGGGAATCCTGTGGTACAAAAACAGTACGCGGTGGGTGCGCGGCCATCACCCGGACGCCATCAGGGGAAGAGGGAGAGTATTTTCAGATTCAGTAATTGTAGAGGAAGGGCGAGGGGAAGGGGAGGGGGATGGAGAGGGAGCATGAGGAGGAGGAGGAGGAGGAGGAGGAGGAGGAGGAGGAGGAGGAGGAGGAGGAGGAGGAGGAGGAGGAGGAGGAGGGAGGGAGGAGGAGGCGGAGGAGGAGGAGGCGGAGGAGGAGGAGGAGGACGAGGAGGAATGAGGAGCAGGAAGGAGGAGTAGAAGGAGGGAGGGATGAGAGGAGATAGGAGGAGGAGGAGGAGGAGGAGGAGGAGGAGGAGGAGGAGGAGGAGGAGGAGGAGGAGGAGGAGGGGGAGGAGGCGGAGGTGGAGGATGGCGGAGGCGAAGGGAGGAGGAGGCGCAGGAGGAGGAGGAGGTGGAGGAGGATGATGAGGAGGAGAAGGAGGATCCCCCGGTGAGGACCCTCAGGGCGGATGGGCCGGGGGCAACGGCGCCACGGTGTGGGACTCGGCGCTGTTGCTGGCGCGGCTCCTCGGCCGTCACGCGTGTGCGTAAGACACGCCCAGACCTCCGACGAGGGGACTTGAACCTGTATCGGCCGGCACGGCCCTCCTCCTCCTCCTCCTCCTCCTCCTCCTACCTCCTCCTCCTCCTCCTCCTCCCTCCTCCTCCTCCTCCTCCTCCTCCTCCTCCTCCTCCTCCTCCTCCTCCCCCTTCTCCTGCCTATGACAGCGGTGGTGGAACATCGGCCCATCCGCTCTGGAGCTACTGATGGTATCCTGCGCACGCCCCCCTCCAGCCAGGCTCCTTTCCAGTCGGGGGGGCGCCCCCGGCGTCACGCCATGCAATGTTGCCCACGTCTGCAGAGATTTCCGACGATCCTTCGAGGATCTCCTGAGATCTCCTGCGGCCCCCCGCCGCGATGGGATCGGGGGGGCTGATTTCCCCTCCCCTTCCCCGAGCACGCACGTGGGCTCCTGCATCAGTACAGTCAAAAACCCTAATAAGGACGCGCGACTTTGCTCAGGGTACCCTTGCGTCCTTGCTCTTTCTTGCTCTTGTGTCCTTGGGGTTTTCGTCGTCCGCCGCCCCAAACATCCCAACTTCGGCTTCCAAGGGTCTTGCGTCCTTACCGCGCGTCCTTATTAGGGTTTTTGACTGTGTCGTTTAACCCAGCGGGGGTTGCTCAGCGTTGCTTGATCCAGACCTGCTCTCGTTGTAAAATAGATCCATCCGTGCGGGAGGTTCTTCGCCGAAGTTCTTCGCCGTTTTCGGCCTCCGCGGGACCTCGCCGGGCGCCAGGACCGTCAAACGTTGACTCAGGATAATAAGCCGGTCCCGGGGAAAGGGTCGGGACTTCTGGGGGCCGCGCGTTGCAAACACGAGAGCGTCGCATGTCTGGGATCCGATCCCCATCCCCTCGGGGCCATGGTTTCTCAGCCCCACCATGTGATCGTTGTTTCATTGAATGTTTTGCCGATCGGCGCGGGCCTCCCAACCCCCCCCCTCCTCCCCCCCCCATGGAGCAGATCTTGGCTGTTTTTTGGCGGCTGTTTCGAGCGGGTGGAGTCCCCCAGAGGCAGCGCTCTCTCTGCAAACAGTCGCGCTGAGCAGAGGTCTGGAGCCAGACCCCCCCCCTCCCCCACCCCCTTCCGCCCAATGTCGAAACGCCGAATAGAAAAATGCTCACCATGCCACCACCCCTGTCGGGGATAGGCCCCTCGAAGCCTGAAGGGAACAGCCCATGTCCCCATCCACAGGGGGTAGCTCGGCCAGAGGGCCCAGGCCACGCCACTGGGCATCGGCGAAGCGATGCTTCTCGCACGAGCTGATCTCCGGCAGTCTCGAGGCTTCGAGGTTCCCTTGCGTTTTTCGAGGTTTCGAGGTTTCGAGGCTCCCTAGCGTTAGGTCGGGCATGTCCCCCTGCAGGCGGATTTTGGACGAAAAATGGAAAAGAGTCGAACATAGCCGAACATACTCGAAAATAGTATGAAAATCGTCCCCGCATATTTTTAAACCATTTTTGAATCCTTCCCCTGTAGAGGGGCACGCCGGACTCAACCCTGGCTTGTTTCGTCCTCCCTGGCCCTCCCGGAGGCTTCTCTCGCCGCCACGGCCAGAGGCGCCTCGAAGACCGGTGGGGCCCCCTGGAGGGGGGAGGGGTCCGGGGAGGGATTCCGAGCGGATTTGGGCCGGGGGCCCCGAAACGGGGTGATGACCACACCGTGTGGTGAGTCAGTGGGATTCGGGGTCACCGCACGGTTTTAGGACTCGAGGCCCTCTCCGAGGACGTCTCGGGCGACTGGGGCATCCGAGGTCCCAAGACCGTGTGGTGACGGACCCTGCGGTGAGGTTTTGGGGGATTTCGAGGTCACCGCGCGGCCTGTCACCGCACCGGCTCGGGACTCCAAAGTTAAATCGGGCATGTCCCTTTACGTGATAATCGTTCACACATAGTCAACAAAAATAGTCAGGGGACGATGTTTCTACAGTTTTCGACTCTTTTTTGAGAACTGTATTTGATTCGTTTTTATTTGTTCTTCGAAAATCCGCCTGTAGGAGAACATGCCCGACCTAAGGCCAAGGGTGACTCGACGGTTCGATGTTTGACTTTCTTCAGACGTTTTTATAGGTTCTCGGCTGTTTTTCCCTACCTAGGCTCTGCCTAGAAGGGTTCTTACTCTCTGGGCTTAAAGGGGCCGGGCAGCGGAAAGCGCCCCGGTCGGTTCCCCCGGTATCCGCCCCGCGGTTCCCCCAGTTACGTCCCCTTAGCTTAGCGTTGTTTATCTCATCTTAGCTTAGTTCCCTACCTAGGCTCTGCCTAGAGGGTTCTTACTCTCTTAGCTTAAAGGGGCCGGGCAGTGCACCACGCCCCGGGCGGTTCCCCCAGTCCCCGCCCCGCGGTTCCCCCAGTCCCCTGGGAGCTTTAGCTATAGCTTTAGCTTTAGCTTTAGCTTTAGCTTTGTGAGCTTTAGCTATAGCTTTAGCTATAGCTTTAGCTGGGAGGCTTTTTCCCCCAGTCCCCTGGGAGCTTTAGCTGAGCTATAGCTATAGCTCTAGCTTAGTTTTAGCTTAGCTTTAGCTTAGCTTTAGCTTAGCTTTGTCTTAGCGTTAGCTTAGCTTTGGCTTAGCTTTAGCTTAGCTTTAGCTTAGCTTTAGCTTAGATTTATCTTAGCTTTAGTTTAGCTTTAGCTTAGCTTTAGCTTAGCCTTAGTTTAACTTTAGTTTAGCTTTAGTTTAGCTTTAGCTTAGCCTTGGTTTAACTTTAGCTTAGCTTTGGCTTAGCGTTAGCTTAGCTTAGCTTCAGCTTAGCTCCAGCTTAGCTTCAGCTTAGCTTTAGCTTACCTTCATATTAGCTTCAGCTTAGCCTCAGCTTAGCCTCAGCTTAGCTTTAGCTTAGCTTTAGCTTAGCTTTAGCTTAGCTTTAGCTTAGCTTTAGCTTAGCTTTAGCTTAGCTTTAGCTCAGCTTTAGCTCAGCTTTAGCTCAGCTTTAGCTTAGCTTCAGCTTAGCTCCAGCTTAGCTTTAGCTTAGCTTTTGCTTAGCTTTAGCTTAGCTGTAGCTTAGCGTTAGCTTAGCTGTAGCTCAGCTTCAGCTTAGCTTCAGCTTAGCTTTAGCTTAGATTTAGCTTAGCTTTAGCTTTAGCTTAGCTTCAGCTTAGCTTTAGCTTAGCTTTAGTTTAGCTTTAACTTAGCTTTAGCGTAGCTTTAGCTTAGCTCAAGCTTAGCTTTAGCATAGCTTTAGCTTAGCGTTAGCTTAGCTTCAGCTTATATTTAGCTTAGCTTTAGCGTAGCTTGAGCTTATCTTTAGCTCAGCTTTAGCTCAGCTTTAGCTTAGCTTGAGCTTAGCTTCAGCTTAGCTTCAGCTTAGCTTCAGCTTAGCTGTAGCTTAGCTTTAGCTTAGCTGTGTCTTAGCTTTAGCTTAGCTTTAGCTTAGCTTTAGCTTAGCTTTAGCTTAGCTTTAGCTTAGCTCTAGCTTAGCTCCAGCTTAGCTTTAGCTTAGCTTAGCTTTAGCGTTGCTTTAGCTTAGCTTCACTGTTACTACTAATGCTGCTTTCCTAGGGGCGCCAACTCCTAGGTAGGGTCGCACTGGGATACTTGTTTTCATCTTATCTTACCTTAGCTTAATCGTAGCTCAGGTTTATCTTAGATTAGCTTACCTTCATCTCAGCTCCGCTGAGCTTTAGCAAAGCAGAGCACAGCATAGCATAGCGTAGCATAGCATAGCGCAGCATAGCATATCATAGCATAGCCCAGCCTATCATAGCATAGCGCAGCATAGCATAACATATCATACCATAACCATGCATTTCATATCATAGCATGTCATAGCGCAGCATATCATAGCATAGCATAGCATAGTATATCATATAATATAATATCATCTCATATCGTAGCATCGCATAGCGCAGCTTAGCATAGCGTAGCAAATCATAGCATATCATAGCATGCTTAGCATAGCGCAGCGCAGCATGGAATATCATAGCTGAGCATATCATGGCATATCATATCATATCATAGCATAGCATAGCGCAGCATAGCATGGCATGGCATGGCATAACATAGCATAGCATAGCATAGCAACTAATGCTGCTTTCCTAGGGGCTCCAATTTCTAGGTAGGGTCGCACTGGGGTAATTATTGGTTATCGGCTGCTTCCCAGCCTCGGGATGCGTCCCACCAGCTGCGCCTCCCCAGGAGTGCTCAGGTGGTGCCAGGACAGGATCCTCCCGAACGGCGGTCGGAGGCTCGAGTGAAGTCCTGAGAGCCCAGACCTCTGACGGTATAATTTTCAATCCCGATGTATCTCCTCCATTTTCGGCCTCCCAGGCCTGTTACCGGGCCCCAGGGCCATCAGAAATGTATCCGGGACGACAGACGTGTTCCCCGGGAGGCAGCGCGGACCCCTGGGGCCACGCATTCACGTAAGAGTGATCCTTCGCCTCAGGGTGCGTTCCAGCAGCCTCGGGGTGCGCTCTGGCATCTGCGCCTCGCACGAGAGCGTTCCCGGGATGCCCGAGTCGCCCCGATACCCGCCGCCGGCGACCCGAGCTACAGTCAACCCGCATAGGGCCCAGCCTTGGCCACTATCGCCGACGCGCCCCGCTCTCGAAGTGTCGACGTGGCCTTCCAACGGCCCTTCATCCTTACCGTGCGTCCTTATTATACGGGTGGACTGTGCATGACCCGAGGCGGGCGGGTCGAGTCGGGTCGGGCGGGCCATGACGGGCGGGTCGGATCGGGCGGGTCGGGTCGGGTCGGGTCGGGCGGGCCCTGACGGGCGGGTCGGGCCGGGCGGGTCGGATCGGCTCGGGTCGGGTCGGATCGGGCGGGCCGTCGGGTCGGGCGGGTCGGGTCGAGCTGGGCGGGCTCTGACGGGCGGGTCGGGTCGGGCGGGGCGGCTCGGATCGGGCGGGCCTTGACGGACGGGTCGGGTCGGGCGGGGCGGGTCGGGTCGGCCCACGGCCCAGGCGGACCTCGGCGGGTGGGAAAGGTCGGGCGGGTCGGGTCGGGATCGGTGCGAAACGGAGGACGGCGACGCGGGATCGGAAGGACCCCGACGAGCGCGTCGGGTCGGAGGGGCGGTGTCGGGGCATAGGCTAGGCCTAGGCATAGGAGAAAGGCCCGGGGTCGGGCCAGGGGCAGGCCCCTTAGGGTAGCCCTCGGGCCAAGGGCAAGGCCCAGGGCAGCCCTGGAGGTAGACCAGGGGCAAGGCCGAGGGTAGCCCAGTGGAGAGGCCCCGGTGTAGGCCTAGGGGTAGGAATTCTAAGGAATTCTCAAGGAATCCTAAGGAATTCCTTGAGAATTCGGAGGAATTCTTCAGGAATCCTCAGGAATCCCTGAGGAGTCCTGAGGGATTCTCAAGGAATCCTAAGGAAATCTTTGGAAGCCTCCAGGAATCTGATGCCCTATGGCAGACGTAGGGTAGGCCTGGGGGCAGAGCTGGGGTAATCCCTTGGGGTAGGCCCAGGAGTCGGCCTGGGGGTAAGCCCTGGGGCTGTCCGAGGGTATGGGCCCTAGGGGCAGACCTAGGGTAGCCCTAGAGGTAGGCTCCAGGTAGGGTATGCCAAGGGGTAGGCCCCAGGGTAGGTCTAGGGTAGGCCTAGGGGTAGGCCCTAGGGTAGGCCTAGGGTAGGCCTAGACATAGGCCCGAGGGCAGGCCTAGGAGCAGGCCCTAGGGTAGGCCTAGGGCCTAAGGGTAGGCCTGGTGTAGGCCTTGGGGTATGCCCTAGGGTTGGTCTAGGGTAGGCCTTGCCCGGACGATCTTATGGGTGTGCGCAGACATCTGATGTGTTGCCAGACGTTTCGATTGTAATGCTCGCTGCGCGATCATCCTCTTGCTTGCGTCTTCGGCTCACCGTATTCGGCAAGGGCCTCTTGCCCTCTTGTTCTCCCACTCCATTCCTTTTCCTTGTGAGTATCTCCTCCCTGTCGCTCCCCAAGGCCAGTTGGAAGGGCGTGTTGGGCGTTTCGCCCGAGACGGCTTCGCGATTTATGAGTTCGCGCATATCCGATTCAATCGTTTGCAAGAGCTTCACATATTGAAAGCGGTTCGTTTTCATAATGTGGTTCTCGCTTTAGTGCCGCGCATCGCTGTCTTGAACATGTGCCAGATATTTACGGTCTGAGGGCGTTGTTTTTTGTCAACGTGTGGCTCTCGCTTTAGCGCCCCGCACATTCATCTTACAAGTTCGCAAGAGTTGTATGTCATATCATGGTCAATTCTCATTCTGAAACGAGTTAGGATGATCAGGGCGCAGCAGTTACGTTGTTTCCCGGTGCTGAAGTCCCAGTGATAGTGTCTTGGCAGGATTCCTGATCTTCAAGACGCAACAGTCAGGTTGACTCGTGGCATTGAAGTCATGCTAATGGTGTGTTGGCACGCTTCAGGGTCTTCGAATGGGCATGCATCCTTGCATGGGGCCTGTGAAGAGGGAGCTTGCAGGGAGGGTCTATTCCATCATCGTTGATGGGTCTTGGGTTTACACTGGTCCTCCTTCTCCTCCTCCTCCTCCTCCTCGCCTGCTTACCGACCCACCGTTGCTTCGCATTTGTTGTCTGTCCCTTGTTGGTATCTTGAGGGCCTCCTGGGCTGTCGATCCAGCTCGACGTGGACCCCGATGTTATACATGCCGACGGCACCGATGCATCGCCGATGCATCGGCGATGCGGCGCGGTCCTCCGACCCCCCTCGGACCCCATCTAGGGGGCCTCTAGTCTTGGGGGCCTCCTGGGGGCTCCTGGGGGCTCCTGGGGAAGGAATGTGCGCGCGTTCGTACGCACGTTCCTTCCCCCTCGCGCGCCCTCGGTCGTTCTCCCTTGTCGTTCGTCCCTCTCTCTTGCTCCGCCTCGCCTCGCGCCCTCGCTCGTCGTGCGTCCCCCCCCCTCTCTTCGAGCGTCCTCCCCTCGTCGCCATGTCCTCCTTGATGTAGCGCCCGCCGACGCGCCTCGGGCGTACGGCTCCCGTCTGTCTGCCCTGGGGGCCTCTCGGGCCGCCGCGGCCGCCCGCGCGGCGGGCGCTCCCGCCCGCCGCGGCCGGGGGGCCCCCCGCGCTTCCGCAGGGCCGCGCCCCCCCCCCCCCCCGAGGTTCCTGCAGCTGCGGCCCGCCGAGCTCGCCGGCGCGGCGGCGCTGGAGCGCAGTCTCGTCGAACCGACCTCGGAGATGGATAGACCTCCTGCCCCTGACACGCCGATTCGTGAATTGGCCGTTTTCGGTTCGCGAGAGGGCGTCGCGGCCCTCATTTTTGCGGATCCAGGTCCGTCGGTTTCGGTCCCAGGCCGTTTTCACTAAGGGGAGGTTTACTAAAGGGTCCACCGCCGACGACCCCTATCCCCTACGGGCCTTCAAGTTTGCTCTCCACCCTCCCGCCTCTCTCGGCGGGATCACAACTCGTCCCTCCTCTTCCTCAAACTACTCGTAGTCCTAGCTATATCCGTAGCCATAGTCGTATCGTGGCCGTAGTCGGCATCGCAGTCGTAAGCGTCGTCGTCGTTGGTTGTTACGCGGCGGGTGCCGCTAAGAAATAGTTACTTTCTATTCTTGGTGGGACCCCGGTCCATCAATGAGGGAGTCAAACAGATAATTGGTTCCCATTGTTGGGGGGCGGGTGCTGAAGACCCTCAGGGGTTTAACCAGACCCCCACCATCTCAGCAACCTAGTTGCGCGACGCAAGAACACGGGGTCGTCTGCGCCGACACTGGCGCGTCAGCTCCACGCGCACAGGCGCGCGTGCGCGCCGTAATTTGCCGACTTGGCGTGCCGTGCTGGCGGCTGCGCAACCCACTGCGCAAGGTGGCTGCGTGATCTACAGTCAAAAACCCTACGAAGGACGCGCGACTTTGCTCAGGGTACCCTTGCGTCCTTGCTCTTCCTTGCTCTTGCGTCCTCGAGGTTTTCGTCGTCCGCCGCCCCCAGAAATCCCAACTTCGGCTTCCAAGGGTCTTGCGTCCTTACCGCGCGTCCTTGTAGAGGGTTTTTGACTGTAAGCCCAAGACCTGCTTTTGGTGTTTGCCGCCGCTCGGTGGGGGATGGCGCCAACCCTTCGAGGCACCCGAAGGACGCACGGCCCGGGTCTTGCGTCCTTACCGCGCCCAAGACCTGCGTTTGGTGTTTGCCGCCGCTCGGCGGGGGATGGCGCCAACCCTTCGGGGCACCCGAAGGACGCACGGCCCGCTGCCCCCCCGCCCACAAGGAAGGGGGGGCGGGTCGGCCAGCGGGGCCCAGGCCAGGCCCGCGGGGACCTTGTGCATCGCACGGACGTGTGCATATATTTGTTCTTCTCGGCGAGGACCCTGGAGGAGCACCCTGGATCACCGAGCAGACAAAAGCACGAGCGGGGCCCAGGCCAGGCCCACGGGGACCTGGCATCGCTCGGACGTGTGCCTATATTTGTTCCTCGGCGAGGACCCTGGAGGAGCACCCCTGGATCACGGAGCAGACAAAAACACGCACGACACCCGACGCATGCACGGGGAACGGACGTCCGAGCGGTGGCCACGGGGGAGGAGGCGTGGGGGTCGGCTGCGCGGTGCCTCAGGAGCTGGGGGCGGGCGTGGGCCTCGTGGGCATGTGCCTCGCCAAGGCGGGCGGCGCGCCCGGAGAGGGGGAGGGGCCGCCTCGGGCAGCCGCAGCCGTGGCACGAGGGCAGCGCAGAGCGCTCGGAGGCCCGCGCGGGGGGGGCCGCCCCTGGCGTCGCTCGGACGCGTGCATTTGCTTCTCGGCGAGGACCACTGAGGACGAGCCTGGACCATCGAGCCAACAAAAAACACGCACGAAACCGAACAACGCACGGGAGATGGACGTCCGAGCGATGGCGAGTCTGCCTGGGATCGGCGCTGGGGCCCCCGCCGGCGCCGATCCGCGGCGTCCGCGCGGACCTGCGAGTTTGTATGTTTGTCGGGCGCGGCCAAGAGGGGGGTGATGACCAGGGGGGGTATCATGGCGGGGGTCACGATACCTCTCCAGATTTCATCGCGCCTCTTCTTGTTTCAAAGCGTCCCCGACCCCTCCCCCTGGGCCGCGCACATGCTGCCGGGCATGATTTGCGCCCCCCCTCTTGGACGCCCCCCTCTTGGACGTCCCCAAGTTTATGCCATTGTTTGTTCCCCAAGGGAGGGAGCCCTGAGGTCCACTACTCTCAAGGCGCTGAAATTCACCGACCTTTCGGCGTGTGTGAGAGGCTGTCGTCGCCTTCGTCGCCGTCGTCGCCTGTCCCAAGAAAACGGAGGTCCGAACAGAGGCAAGAAATTCGTGGTCGAGTCGATCCCCTTCCCTTGTTCCCCTCCCTTACCGTCCGGAGGGGGGGAGTCCCCTGACCTTCGAGAGTGCAAAGAAATAGCCCTCCAGACCTATAGACCTAGCTGGACTTTTGAAATCCTCGACTGGATTTTAGATGTCGAGGTCCTGCTGCTATTCTTCGGCCCTTTTGGAAGGTCTGGGTAGGGGGGGGGGGGGACAAGGGTAGTCGGAGAGAGGAGGTGTCCCGGGTCAGATTACCGCCTCCCGGCGCTCCCAGAGCGGCGCCCCAGCGGGAGCGGTCCCATTGTGGACAGGGGGATTTCCCCAGCCCTGGCCCCGGCCCCCGGTCTGGGGAGGGCCCCTTTGGGGTCTCGGGGGGCGTTCCCGCCTTCCGGGCTGGCGGCAGGAGTTCACAACAAAAGAGCTGCCCTTCACCGAGCGCGTTGCGGTTTTCGCAAAGTGCCTACTCGCAGACGCCCGAAACACATACGTCTGCCTCGACGTAATGTATCGCGGATCCCCATGGTGGATCCAGGCCATTAGCGTGTATTTACTTTGCGAGTAGTGGAATGCGCTTGTCTAGCTTTGGGGTTAGGGGGATCACTCAGGTGTTCCTGCCGTTCGCCAGAGTCCTGTCGTGGAACCTGTTTGTGGCCCAAGCCCGCCGTGGCCAGGAAAGCCCCCTCGTTCCTTATCATGCGCTCCACGTCGGCGCGATGGCCGTACAGGCTGCAGTCGGGTCTGTCCCTCTACAGGAGGAATATTCAAAAATAGTCAAGCAATCGTCTGGGGACGATGTGTTGGGTATTTCTGAGCATTTTCCGTGTATGGTTTGATTGTGGTTTTTGTGCGAATCTCAAAAATCGTCCGACACTCGCCTGCAGGGGGACATGCCCGACCTAAGTATGGGCCTTCCCGATGGGGTCCCTCGACCCTCGACTTCCCCCGGGGACCGGTCTCCGAGGGCGCCGCGAGGGCAGGAGCTGGTCCCGGGGAGTGCCTTTTCGTGCTGCCCCCCCTGTCTCGAAGAGCATCGCCACCACCCTTGTGTCGGGCCTGTCCCTCTACAGGAGGAATATTCAACACAAATGATCCCAGTGCGACCCTATCTAGGAGTTGGAGCCTCCAGGAAAGCAACATTAGTAGGAGCGGTAAACGCCGTCCTCCTCCTCCTCATCGCCGTAGTTGTAGCAGTAGCGGTAGTAGAAGTAGTAGTAGTAGTAGTAGTAGTAGTAGTAGTAGTAGTAGTAGTCGTAGTCGTAGTCGTAGTCGTAGTAGTAGTAGTAGTAGTAGTAGTAGTAGTAGTAGTAGTAGTAGTAGTAGTAGTAGTAGTAGTAGTAGTAGTAGTCGTAGTCGTAGTCGTAGTAGTAGTAGTAGTAGTAGTAGTAGTAGTAGTAGTAGTAGTAGTAGTAGTCAGTAGTAGTCGTAGTAGTAGTAGTAGTAGTAGTAGTAGTAGTAGTAGTAGTGTAGTAGTAGTAGTAGTAGTAGTAGTAGTAGTAGTAGTAGTAGTAGTAGTAGTCGTAGTAGTAGTAGTAGTAGTAGTAGTAGTAGTAGTAGTAGTAGTAGTAGTAGTAGTAGTAGTAGTAGTAGTAGTAGTAGTAGTAGTAGTAGTAGTAGTAGTAGTAGTAGTAGTAGTAGTAGTAGTAGTAGTAGTAGTAGTAGTAGTAGTAGTAGTAGTATAGTAGTAGTAGTAGTAGTAGTAGTAGTAGTAGTAGTAGTAGTAGTAGTAGTAGTAGTAGTAGTAGTAGTAGTAGTAGTTAGTAGTAGTAGTAGTAGTAGTAGTAGTAGTAGTAGTAGTAGTAGTAGTAGTAGTAGTAGTAGTAGTAGTAGTAGTAGTAGTAGTAGTAGTAGTAGTAGTAGTAGCGCCAGAACCGCAGACGCCACTCCGTAGGTGAAGCAGCAGCAGAAGCAGGCAGCAAGTCGCCGAGACAGCAGCAAAAGCAAGCAGGCAAGCAAGTCGCCGAGACAGCAGCAAGCATGCTATGCGATGCGATGCGATGCTATGCTATGCTATGCTATGCTACGCTAAGCTGCGCAATGCTATATTGGGTCAGGCTAGGCTAGGCTAGGCTAGGCTATGCTATGGTATGCTGCGCTATGCTATGCTGCGCTATGCTCTGCTATGCTCTGCTATGCTATGCTATGCTTTTGCTTTGCCTTCGCTTTTGCCTTCACTTGTGCCTTTGCTTTTGCTTTTGCTTGGCACCCAGGGAGCGCATCTGGGTGAACCGCGCGTTTGCTTGTACCTTTGCTGTTGCTTTTGCTTGGCTCCCAGGGGACCGGGGGAACCTGACGGGGCGCTTTCCACTGCCCGGCCCTTTAAGCAAACCGAGTAAGAAGCCTTCTAGGCAGAGCCTAGGTAGGGAAACATGTTGAACATAACTCAGATGAAGGTGAGCTAAGCTAAGATAAACCTGAGCTAAGATGAAGCTAAGCTAAGCTAAGATGAAATAAGCTATGCTAAGATGACATAAGCAACGCTAAGCTAAGGGGACGTAACTGGGGGAACCGCGGGGCGGATATTGGGGGAACCGCCCGGGGCGGGCCCCACTGCCCGGCCCCTTTAAGCAAACCGAGTAAGAACCCTTCTAGGCAGAGCCTAGGTAGGGAAACAATCAACAACAAAAACATGATATGGGACGATGTTTGAGTGTTGCTTATTTTTGAGTATCGCTTTGCATAGTTTTAATGTTTAGTCCCAAATCCACCTGTATAGTTATGATGTTCCAGCCTACTTTAGCCTTGACCGCTGGAATGAATTTCGAGCACCAAGAAAACACCCCAAACATCAAGGGTTTTCCGACACTCTTTCGGCACTCTTCCGACATTCTTTCGACTCTTTGCTGGGTGCTCGGAATAATTCCTGGGATGTGGTCCTGAAGTGCGATGGGAGCAACATAAACTGTATAAAGGGGGACGTGCCCGACCTGACACCACCGCCTCTCCGCGCCCCGCTCTCGGGCAGGTGATGCTCGCACGCAGGAGGGGGGGGGGGGGGGGAGGGGGAGGGGGCCTGGGCCCCCCTCCCCAACATGCTGGTGCACCCACGTGGGGGAAGCCAGCAGGGCTTCGTCCTCGAAGGGGGAAGACATTTTCGGAGGGGGGAGGGGGGGGAAGACGTCTTCGAAGGGGGGAGGGCCAGGGAGGGGGGGGGGAGGGGCGGGGGGATGGCTCCGAAGGCGAAGCCTTCGCAGGAATAATGGCTTCGTCTTCGAAGGGGGGAGGGGGGGGAGGGGAGGGGGAGGAAGTCCTTGGTTCTTGGAGGTCTCCTCCCATCGGGATGCTCTCCAGCGGCTCGGCGGCTGCGCCTTGTCGAGGGCTCTCCAGGGAGGCCTGGATCGTCCGGCCGCCAGAGGCCCGATGTGGGACCCGCAAGCGGCCAGCAAGGGGAATCCCGAGATCCTATAACGTTGCACCTTTGTCCGCAACGGGCCGCTTTGGCCTGTTTGGGGCCCCGGGACACTCGTGGATCCGTCCGGCTCGAAAAATGGCGCCGGAAGATGGGGTGCAGGGCTTTGGTCGAGTTCTTCTCGGATGTTGCCTTTTTTCGTGCTGTCGGATCTCAGGGAAGGCAGAGAGGGCGGGCCTGTTCAGAAGGCTCGGAAGGCCTCCGCCCTCGGGGAAGCTTTGGAGGCCCTCTCCAGAACTACAGAGGGCTATTCCGAATGCCTGGAGGGCCTTGCGAAGCGCCGCCGCCTGAGAAGACCTGGTCCCTCAATGACCATCGTCGTCTGGTTTTGGGGCCTCTGGCGGCCGATGAGGACGATCCGAGCTCCCCAGGACGCCTCCTCGGCGAGGCGCAGCTGCAGGAGCGCATCCCGAGGCTGGAAGAGCGCCAGGACCCGACGGGGGCTACCGCAAACCTCGCACCTCGAACCCGAGACTCCCGACTGACCCCCTTGGGCGCGCCGCCGACAAGCTGGGCGCCCGGGTGCTCCTCACGGAGCGCGCGATCGCGCTGCCGCTGCTGCGGCGCAACCTGGCGGAGAACTCGCTGGGCGGCGGCCCCGCCTCGGCGGAGGAGCTCTCGTGGGGCACGGTGCCGCTGCCCGCGCCGGTGCTTCGGGGCAGTGCCAGGATAGGTTCAGGGGGCAATGCGAGGAGGAGGAGGAGGAGGAGGAGGAGGAGGAGGAGGAGGAGGAGGAGGAGGAGGAGGAGGAGGAGGAGGAGGAGGAGGAGGAGGAGGAGGAGGAGCGAGGAGAGGAGGAGGAGGAGGAAGAGAGGGAGGAGGAAGGAGGAAGAGGAAGGAGGAAGAGGAGGAGGAGGAAGAGGAGGAGGAGGAGGAGGAGGAGGAGGAGGAGGAGGAGAGGAGGAGGAGGAGAGAGAGGAGGAGAGAGGAGGAGGAGGAGGAGGAGGAGGGGGAGGAGGAGGAGAGAGGAAGGAGGGGGGAAGGGGAGGAAGGAGGAGGGAGGAAGAGGAGGAGGAGGAGGAGGAGGAGGAGGAGGAGGAGATGGAGGAGGAGGAGGAGGAGGAAGAGGAGGAGGAGGGGTCGGACTTCGCGCGTGGAGCGTTTGTGCAGCTCGAGTGTCGGTCGCCGCTTCCTCGGCCGGCCGCTCGGGCCCGCTCGGCGCGGAACTCTTCCACGCCCGAGAGCTCGTCCCTCCCCCTCCTCAGCCTCAGCCTCAGCCTCCGGGTAGACCGCCGCGTACGACTCCCGGGCCTTTACGTTGAACGCGGGTGCCTCCTAAGGATCAAGTAGAAGGCGATGAGGGGGGAGGAGGGGGAGGGAGGGGGGAGAGGGACCGACACCATCGACACAGCCCAAACCAGAGGAACACACCACCACACAAACACAAACACGTTTTGACAGGGAGCATAAACGAGCCGAGTCCGAGCAAAACGCCGGCGACGGGAGAGGAGTCACAGTGATCACCCCTTTTAGCACAGCCCGAGCTCCACGGCATGTTGAAAAAGTCGCACATGAAGTACAAGGCTGACAGGTCCACGACAGGTCGACCAAGCTCGTATCCATGCTTTGCACTCACAAGAGACTCTGGGCCCTTTAAGCCGAATTCACACGCCATGCTCTGGGCCCTTTAAGCCAATTCTGCGGCCCTTTAAGCCGAATTCTCATGCATGTCTCTGTGGCGCTTGGAGGCCTACTGGGGCCCCCCCGCAGGGGGGGCGCCAGCGGCGTCCGCCGGGGCGGCCACCGCCGGGGCGGCGGCACCTCCGTCCGCGGGGTCGGCGGCAGGAGCGGCAGCCGGCGGCACCGCCGCCGCCGGGCGCGCAAGGTGGCCGGCCGGGCGCGCCCCCTGGATCACGCCACCTGCTCCCGCACCCTTCTTGCCCTTGGCCTTGCCCTTGCCCTTGCCGCCCTTGCCGGCCTTGCCCTTCCCCTTGTCGCCCTTGCCGCCCTTGGGGCCCTTTCCGCCCTTGCCCTTGCCCCGCTCCTCCGGCGTGCGCTCCAAGTAAAGGAGGCGCCGCGGGGGGGGATCGACGCCCTGCACGCGCGTGGGGCGGCCGTCCACGTCCAGGCCACACGCCGTCCTCAACAGCTTGTCCAAGGGCCCGAGCGCGCTCTGGACGAGGAGCGACTCTGTGCAGAACCGCAGCTTCGTTTTGAAGACCCCCGGAAGGCGCTGCCAACCGCTGCCCCCGCCGGCCGCGTCGCTCCACTTCCGCTCCTCGTAGACACCCACTATCAAGCCGCGGGCTGACAGGGCCCTGTACAGGCAGCGAAGAGCTTCGGTGCGCTCATTATTGCCGCCGCCCATCTGGTCGTCGAGCGGCCAAGTGACGTCGAGGCGCTCTGCAACCTCCTTGCACACTACGTTGGGCCACTCCTCCTTGAGCTCGCGGAAGGCCCCCGCCTCCTTTTTACCCAAGTAGAAGACGTCTGCTTGCGGAAAGCCCTCGACGATCAGGACCGTGCTCTTCAACAGGGCGTCAAGAGCCGCAGAGTGGCGGCGCTGCGTCAGCTCGAGCTGAACAATACGATCGGCGTGATCGTTGAGAGCCTGGTCGATCTGTGCACGGCGAGCAGCCGCCATCGCAGCGCGGGGTGGGACGGGCGGCGCGTGGGCTCGAGCTGGGGCGACTGCCGTGTCACAAACAATGTGTCACATGGGGCTGCGTTCGCGCGCAGCAGCACACCGAGAATGACAAAAGCACAAGTGGTGGTTGGAAGGGAAGGGAGGGGAGGGGGAGACGAGGGAGGGAAAGAGGAAGCAGGCGGGGGAAGGGGAGGAAGGACGGGGGGGAGAGAAGGACAAGGGAGGAAGGGAAAGGGCGGGGGACCGGGGACCAACCACCACCACCGAGAGGGGAGAACAGAGGAGGGGAGACACAAGCACACACACACATACACGCACAGACAACACACACCACCTCCTCCGAGAGACACAACAACGATACTCAGCCCCGGCTGTAAGGGCTTGGGGGCGGCTTTGACCTGTCCCCAGATGAGACAGGCCGGCTCGGCGGAACTGTAAAACCACCAGCCGCCCCCGTGGTCGAACTGTCGAGGATCGCCGCCGGCACAGAGCAGCCACCAGGAGACACAACGACACGAGGAGGACACTCACCACGAGGGGGGAGAAAAAACAACACCTGCACACGAGAGGAGGAGGACCACAACACAGGAGGCGGATCACCACCGCCAGCTTCCGAGCCATCGACCGGCAAAACGCGGCATTGAGGGATGGCCCTAACCGTGGCCCGCGGGGCGCCGTAGCGCTAACCTCATATTACCACCAGGAACTGGCTGCCCGCGACCCCGTGCGCGACCTAATGCTTTGGCTGCCGCTCCCCTACCGCGGACCGCGGCCACCGCCTTGGCACCGCCCTTAGCCCGCGGTTTCGCTTTGGGCACAGCTGGGGCAGCCGCGGGTGCTGCCGCTGCGGGCGCCGCAGGGTCTGGGGGCGCCGGCACGCGCTCGCCACGACACCATTTCTCGTGAGCTCCACAAGGGCGAGAGATCATGCCTGGTGGGTCCGTGGGCTCAAAAACTTTGCCGCATTTACTACACGTCCTATTAAGGAGCTCACTCCCGCGGCATTTGTTCTCGTGCGCGTGTCTGCACCCCTCTTTGACCTCCAACTTGCACTTACGACACTTAGTCATCCCTGGTGTGATGGCAAATCCTACGGCCGTGCACCGCCGGAAATGCCACTTAATGTCTTTGGATAGGACCTCAATGCCGCATTTTTTGCAATAGTCGATATCCTGCCACCGAAGGGCGGCGACTTGGGGAGGGGGCGCAAGCCATCGCAGAGACTGCTCCGAAACCATGCCCTGGCGTCCCAAATCCGCAGCACGGTCCGCGAGTTCGTTGTCGTGCACTCCAGTGTGCCCATACACGTGTTCCCACGTCACTTGGCGTCTAGCCATAACCTGTTCCGTCAGCCCCCGCACCGTGTCCGCCAGCTCCTCATTGGACTTCACCTCCCACAGGCCCCGGGCGGTGTTGGCTGCATACTCCGAATCATAGCGGATGTGCACGGGAACAGCTCCACCATCCGGCGCCTCATTCAGCAGCCAGTGCATGACTTCCCCGATGGCAGACAGCTCTGCTGTATTATTCGTCTGGGACCGGGCGCCGATCCACCTGTGATCCCAAGCTCTACACACCACAGGGGCATGCAGCACGAAATCAGGCACCATACCCGGGCTGCCCGGCCCTTCATAACGAAAGATAACTGCGCCCCAACCCGCCTCACCGTCGAGCCCTGACCCGTCGGTGGCAATCCACCAGCCTAACGGCGGCGCGGCGTGTGGCCCGTGAAGAACAGGCTCCCATTTGCCGAACTCCACCTGCATGGCATCACGCAGTTCGAGTCTCGCGGGACATGTGGCCTTATGGTATTTGACATCTCTGCCCATATACTGTTTGCAATCAGGACTCTGGTGGCTCAGGCTGGTGACAACCGTAGGATCCCGAACAGAGTGCTCAGCATCATAATGAAACTGCAGCTGGTTGCCCGTGGCAAAACTCGCAAGACACACTGGGCACGAGTACGCGGTCTCCTGGGCCTCATCGTCGTCGTCGTCGGGGGAGGGAGGGGGAGGGGGAGGAGGAGGAGGAGGAGGGACGACCGACGACGACGACGACGGCCCCGCCCCCGACGACGGCAAAGGAGCCCCGGGACGCCACGCATTGATGGCAGTGCGCTGCTCTGTCGTCAACGGGGCGCCTGGGAAGCTGTTGTCGATCGCACGTCTCCACCCTCGCCGGGCCTGGGCGCGTCGAAACCAATCAATTTCTTCGACTGACAGCCTCCGGACACACTTCCGCAGCCACTGATACTGCCAGATGCGGCCCACCGTAGGGGTGCCCCCCCGCGCTGACAGCCACCCGAACAGGACCTGTTTCGGCACCCGCCACACCGGCATTCGAGCCACGTGTCCCAACCACTGCAGTGCCAAGCGCGCCGTTAAATCCTCCATCGACCGCCATTGGGCTGCACGGTACATCATCGCGTCCGAAACCTCGAGGTCCCTCATAATGAGCACATCCATGCCGAACGCCCGGCGGACGCCATAATTGGCCACTCGTTGAAGTCTAGCCAGGTCGTGGCGCGTCCAGCCCCGTGACCGCGAAGCGGACGTGAGCAGCCCAATCACACAGGAGTGCACAATCTGGAGCCTGGTGCTAATATCAACTCCGCTCGTGCGGCCGCGACCGTGCGCCGTACCCACCGACCAACCTTTGGCCAAGGATTTAACTAGCGCGTTGCCCGCCGTAACACGCTTGGTCGTATCCGCAGTCAGAGCCCCGCTTCTGCAGTGTATGCCCCCGATATGCTTAACCTGCTCAACCTCGAACTCCATGGGCACATCGTATGGTGCCGGGGGAACACCACAAATGCGAAGACGTTCCGTTTTGCCCCGGTTGAGCCTCTCGTCCCAGTCGGCCATCGTGGTCTCGAACAATGGGTCGGCCACCCGCATTTCATCAGCCATGCCTACCAATGCCGTGTCATCCGCGAAACCCAGATCTCCAATGACAGTAGAACGAACCGTACTGGCGAAACTCTTATCCCCTGCGACGTGAGTCCGCGTCCTGGCTCGCTTGTTGAGCTTGCCATCTATCTGGTAGTCCCAGGCGAGACCGGGGGCGTGGCCGGCCGCATCAGCACGTCGCTTCCGACGAAGGCGGAAGTCCCGAAGCACTGCATCATGAAACACGTTAAACAAGGGAGGGCTGGACGGGCACCCCTCCCGTAGCCCGCGGCGAGGGTACCACTGAGACGACAAACCCTGTAAAACCCGCACCTTGTAGCCCGTGTGCTCGTGGAGAGCCTTGCACACTCGGATAAAACCCCGGGGACAGCCTCTGCGTTCTAACAAACGCCACAGGGCCGGCCGGCACACTCGTGGATAAGCCTTTTCTATGTCGTAGAACGAGAGGACAACAGCGTTGCCGTTGGTCAAAGCACGAGCCTCCTCAATAAGGCGCCGCGCTACCTGCAGGGCGTCATCAGTGCCCCGGCCCCGCCTGAAGCCATACTGTTCCTCCGCCATAAAACCCTCAGACCACTGAGCGAGCCGAGAGGCCACGACTCGAGCCACCAATTTGGAGCCCACCGACAGCAGTGTGATGCCGCGCCACGTATTCTTATCAGCGCGGTTACCCTTGCGCTTCCATAGCGGCACGACCAAGCCCACTTTCCATTCCTCGGGCCAATCTTCGGCCTCGCCGTCTTCATCTGCCCGGGACGCACGCTCCCACATATCCCGTACGATGTCAAAAACCCGCGCCCGCAGGGCGTCACCCCCATACTTTAAAGATTCCGCGACAAACCCGTCCTCTCCTGGTTGACGCCCAGGCTGCATTTTCTTGACGCAGGCCATCAGCTCTGGGTCTGTGGGAGGGGCGGCGAGCCATTCCACAACCACTGCCGTTTGTGGCACGTGCTGCCACACGTGCTCAGCAACTACCCCCACGTCCTTAGAGATGGCAGCAAAGTGCTGCTTCCACTTCTCCCGTTCTCCTGCGACGTCACCGACGCTCCAACGACCGGAGTCGCACCTGTCCCCGCGCCGAAGCCGGAGGTCACGGAAGAGCCTAAATAGCTCGCCCTGATCCCCGCTCCGGGCCGCCGCGGAAGCCTGACCCCCAATGTCACGCCAGTACGCGTTCTCCAACTGCCGCAGGGTCCGGCGACGTTCCCGCCGCGCCAGCCGCCGCGCCGCTACAGCGGCGACCTTGGTATCCTCAGTGGCCGTCTTCCAAGCTGTCTCGGCCGTAGACACAGCCTCGTCAAGTCGGCGCTTGGTGTCCTCGTGACCCCGAAGCCACGGGATCTGGTGCTTTTTCACCCGCATGCCCAATACATTCAGCGCGACTTCCTTCACGATCCTGCAGACATCCCGCCACACGGGCGGCGCAGCACAGCCCAAAATGCGCTCAGTGATTTGCTTCTCGAAGTCGCTCCTGGACTGCTTGGCAGTAGCAGAAGACCCCGTCATGGCACCATAATTGGGAACTGTCTCACGAGCCTCCTCGACTGGGGCCACGCGCGCCCACTGCACGTCAAGCCGCCCACATACCTCGACAGGCTCATGGTCCGTATATGGTGCCCACGGTACCACCCCGTCCTCCCTCGCCCCTCCTCCATCCACCCTCCTCTTTCCTTTTCGTCGACTCATTCGTCCACGCTCGTCCTGCTGCCCACGGGGCCCAAAATGGAGGGTGCGGCACGACGTAAAGAACTTCCGGTCCCTTGGCCGGACGAGCACGTGATCAAGCTGATGGGCGGTGCGGTACCGCAGGTGCCACCACGTGGCCGGCTGCGATTGCTCATACATATTACTGAGGATACATAAAGGGACTGAGTGGCAAGCGGCCACAAGCTCGCGCCCGGTGTCCGTGCGGCGCGGAGACGCATGGAGACCCAACACCTCCCGCTCCTCGTCCCCCTGAGGCCGGCCGACTTCCGCATTGAAGTCGCCACCGACTATAACCAGCTGATCAGCGCCCCGGACACGGGACTCGACGAAGCGCAGCTCTTCATGAAAACGGTCCCTGGCAGCGACAGCAGCAGGCCTCGTCCCCGACACCGGGGCGTAGCACGCCAGCAGAGAGATGCCTCTGCGCCGCCCTTTCCGGGGAATCACAACACCCATCACTCGAATACCCGCTCTTCCTTCCCTTTCCCGAACAACGACCTGCGACCCCGACTCCCTCCAAGCCTCAGACAGTTTGTTACCTAAAGCCACACAAACCTTCCCCCTAATGATGAAAGTCCACTTCCTCCCCCCTTCCTCATACTCCCTTACCCCATTACATGTAAACTTCACATCAGAAAACAAGGCAAAGTCCCATTTCCTCCCGTTGAGCAGGGAGAGGAAAACACCAACCTTGATAGCCGGGCTCTCGTTGCCCCGCTCCGTCCCCAACTTCCTTGTATTCCAAGTGCCACCCCTGAAGAACCATGCCGCGGGAGCCTTGTGAGCCCTCCGGCGACGGCCCTCCCGCCGAAGCACGGCAAGTTTATGCATGGCACAGCACCGCTTGGCACGAGAAGCCTTCTTCTTCTTGATCCGCTTCTTGGCCCGGATCCTAAGAGCACGTTCCTGACACCGCGTTAAACCTGAAGGAAACGTAGGGCCTTCAACCAACACCATCGCCTCAGCACCGACCACATTCGGCACAGACACCGACGCGCGTTGGCCAAACGAGTCGCCGGTCTGCCCCCCAGGACCCGCGACTGACACTGCGACTGACACCGCAGCCCCAGCCGCAGCCCCAGCCGGAGCCGAAGCCCCCACGGAGGAAAGAGCCGGAGCCCCAACCGCCTCCGTGGCGTGATGGCCCCGGGGAGGGTGTGCACTCCCGCCCCCAAGCATTCTAGACGGCCCAGGGGATGGCCGACCCGAGCACAGCCAAGAGAACCCAGCGACAGCGACAAACGACCATGCCCCTCCCGAAGCTCCAGAGGGGGCACCCCGAAAGGGGTTTGGGTTAGCCTCATCCATTGCCCCCACCCCCAAACACGAGTTAAGAAGCACAAGAAGGAGGACACACAAGGATAGAGGTGGGGAGGATGAGTTTGCCGACGAGCGGCCACGAGGAGGCCTGTGCACCTGCTCGGCTCGTCCCTCCCCCTGCCTCTCCGCGGCCGCCATCTGCTCGCTCTCGGGGATCGAATTTTAGTCTGGGCCTCCAGGGTAGGCCATGTCGACCCAACTCCTGAGTGTCCTCTCCCCACTATGGTTTCTTAGTTTTCAGTGCTGTGCACTCCCACCATGGGCATTCCATTCCATTCCATTCCATTCCATTCCATTCTCCCTCTCTTGCACGCCGGCCACTTCGCCATCCGGTTGCCCCGCACTAGTGATTGCCACACGCTGGAGCGGGCCGCCTCTGCCTCGCCGGCGACGGGAAATGTGTCCGGGCAGCGTCCGAACATTTGCGTCGGTTCTTGGAGGTACCTCCGGCCTCAGCATGCGGTCCAGCAGTTGCGCGTCGCCGATCGCCGTCCGGGGGGTCCCAGACATCCCGACAGGCCTCCGGAGACCCGAGTTATGATCGGAAAACGGGACGACGAGGATCACCGGGGTGATAGGCGCAGGGGGAGATGCGTCGCCCCCCAATCGCCCTTTGATCGCCGATGAGGGGCCCGATAGCCCCACCCGCCCAGGAGCGAGCGGATTCGCTGTCGGGGGCCCGTTGCCGATCTACCGGAGACGTGTTGCCGATTCCTGGTCGATGTTTCCCCCTCTGAGTCGGTCACCCGCGTATCTCAGTATCTTTTAATCGATCCCTATCCCCATCTCCATATCCATCCCGATCCCCACCATCCCACCACCCCGGGTGGATATGCCCGGAATTCGACGGCAACAACCTATATCCCCATCTAGGAGGGTAGATCGGTCAGTGGGACCCGGGCCACGCCTGTGGGGGTAGGGATCGGTTCAACGATGCTCATGATCGTTTCCACTCACAGGTGCGCGGCGCCGCGAACGCGGACACCGGCTTCTTCGATGTGGTGGTGGGGAGCTCGGCGGTCGCGCAGAATCCGGGATCTCTGACCCCGAGATCCTAGCGTTCTTCGTTTCGGGCCCTGGGACCCTCACGCATCGATCGGGCTTGAGAGATGCAGCAGAAAGATGGTGCTCTCCAGAGCCAGTGCTGGGCCACCTCAGATCCCTAGCCAGCTCCAACGTGAGGTGCGGTCGTTCGGAATTCGGAGGTCACCGCACGGTATGTCAACGCAACCTGACGGGACCCCAAAGACAAGCAGAGGCAAGTCCTCGCCTTACTCTCGAGGCCGGCTTCTGGCCATGCTCGCGTCGGTGTCCGCACTGTTAACGATGTTGCAAGTGTTCGCGACGTCGGATATCTCAGGGTCTGACTGCGACGCTCTTCGCAGGTCTTCGGAGGGTCCAGTTTGTTCCCAAAGGCGTTCCCGCCTCGGGAGGCTCTCCAGCAGCTGCGCCTCGCCGAGAGCGTTCCGAATCCTCCCGAGCAGCCCCCGGAGGCCCGAGTCATTCAGCATCGTTTAACCGACCCCTATCCCCATTTCCATCCCCGTCCAGACCCGAGTTGTTCAGGATCGTTTAACCGACCCCTATCCCCATTTTCATCCCCGTCCAGACCCCCACCATCTCCGCACCCTGGTCGGGGACATACCCCTCGAAGCCCGAAGGAACGGGCCCACATCCCCATCTGGGAGGGCAAATCGGCCAGTGGGGACCAGGTCACGCCCATGGGGATGGGGGTCTGATGAACGATGCTCAGTTGAGCGATGCAGAAAAACGGGGTGGGTCGTCTTCGCCGACGATGGCGCGTACGCTGCCCGTGCTCGCTCGCGCTTAAGCGCCCTCGTCTTCAAGCGTAGCCTGCCGCGCCGGCGGCCCGCGGAGGCTGCGGCGTAAGGTCGCTGTGCCATCTCGCGTAAGACCCGTTTTGGATCGTCGCTCATCTGGTGGGGCACTGCCACTACATCTGTGGCACCCTGGACGCCGAAGGGTCCTGCATCCTTATTCTGGATCCTGATACCTTGTGGCGGCGGCGGTACCTCGTTCCTGCGGTGCCTCATGCTCCGTTCCTTTACTACCCCATGCTCCCGCTCTTCCTCCCCTCGACAACCACAGTTTTGATCGTCGCTCAGTTGTGGCCTGACGGCCCAGCAGACCTCTGCGGGCGGTCTGCGGGCAAGGCCGCGTGTCCCCAGCCACAGACAGAAGACAGCCCTGCACTTCTAGAGCTGAGGCGGTGCGGCTGCGGGCAAGTCGCCGCACGTGTCTGGACGCCAGGGCCACAGACAGAAGACAGCCCTGCACTTCTAGAGACACTGAGAGCCCCAGGAGTGGGAAGGTATAGGAGGAAGGACGGGGTAAGTAAGGACACGGGAAGGACGGGAGGAGTCTAGGCCTCCTGGATGGGTCGGAGTAGATGGTGTCGGAGGATCGCGCAGCATCGCCGATGCATCGGCGATGCATCAGCGATGCGGCTCGATGTGGGGCCTCATTTTCTCCACGCCGACGTCGCCGATGCATCGCCGACGCCGCCAGTGCATGGCGAGCCGATGCATAGCCGATGCATGGCCGATGCATCGCCGATGCATCGTCGATGCGGCGAGATCCTCTGACCTCATCTGCTCGGAACTCATCTACCGGAGGTTGACAGACCTCCTACCCTGACACGCCGACTAGCGAATTGGCCGTTTTCGGTTCGCGAGGGGGCGTCGCGGCCGTCATTTTTGCAGGTCCGGGTCCGTCGGTTTCGGTCCTAAGCCGTTTTCCCGAAAGAGTGGTTTACTAAAGGGAGGCTTGTCCATTGCCGAACCTAGGAGGCATCTATATCGGGCGAAGAGAACTATGCACCGATCCTGGCAAGGCCGATCCTTGACCCAGGATGGGTGAATATGCCTTCCAGGCCAAGGTCGTAGGGCGTATGCACCGATCGTGGGCTCAGGATGGGCCTGGCCAGAATCGGTGTATGTGCATAGTTCTTGTGCCTCCTCTACTATATCGGTGTAGGAGGCAGGGCGATCCTGTCTGTTCTGGTCCCCGGGGCCTCTCCGCGCGGGTTCCCGCCGTCGGGCCTCCCCCCCCCCGGGGCGCTGCTACACGCACGGAGGTGCCCGGCGGGCAGCTGCCTCCCCCCGAGGGAAGGGGGGCGAGCCTTGCAAGGGGGGGGAAGAGACAGCATGAGGAGCACGGCTAGGGGCAGGAGGAGGGGTGGGAGAGAGGGGGAGAAGGAGGAGGAGGAGGAGGAGGAGGAGGAGGAGGAGGAGGAGAGGAGGAGGAGGAGGAGGAGGAGGAAGGGGAGGAGGAGGACGAGGACGAGGACGAGGAGGTGGAGGAGGAGGAGGAGGAGGAGAAGAAGGAGGAGGAGGAGGAGAAGAGAGGAGGAGAGAGGAGGAGAGTGGAGGAGGAGGAGAAGAGAAGAGGAGAGAGGAGGAGGCGAAAAGAAGAGAAGAGAGGAGGGAGGAGAGAGGAGAGAGGAGAACTGCGGAGGAGGAAGTAGGAAGAGGAGGGCCAGAACAAACCCAAGATTCATCAGAGATGTTGGAATAAACCCTGCCCAAAGCTCCGTCTTCACAGGCCCCTGCAAGGGTTCATTTCGATTGAGGGGACTGTCTCGTTGTTTGAGGACCCTGAAGCGTACCAAAACACCATCATCGGGATTCCAACACCACGATTTAACATGAGAGTTGCGTCTTGACGATCCATTACCGCGCACGAGCACCATCCCTGGGACTTCAACACCACGAATCAACGTAACTGTTGCGCCCTCACAATCCCGAGTCCTTCCAAAACATATGTTTCTGGCACGTTGACCATGGACATCGTTGAAACTCTTGAAACTGTGTCAGACGAGCGTGCGCGGCGCTGACGTGAGAGCCACATTTTAAAATGAAGCCACCCTCGATCTGTGAAACACTTGCGACTGTTAACAGCGAGTATGCGCGGCGCTAATGCGAGAGCGACATTTTGAACACCATTCGCCCTCCATCTGCAATTACGAGAGCGTCAAGGTCAGAAGTGGTGGGGAAGTCTCGGGCGAAACGCTTGGCCCGCCCTTTCGATCGGCCTCGTGGTGCGACAGGGAGGAGCTCTGCTTATTATTGAGGACATGCGGAATAATGAGGACTAGGAACAGGAGGGAGGAGGAGGAGGAGGAGGAGGAGGAGGAGGAGAGAGAGAGAGAGGAGAGAGGAGGGTTTTTGGAGGAGGAGAATGGGAGGAGGAGGGGAGGAGGAGGGGAGAAGGAGGAGGAGGAGGAGGGAGGAGGAGAGGAGGAGAGAGAGGAGGAGGAGGAGGAGGAGGAGGAGAAGAACGGAGGAGAGAGGAAGAGAGAGGAGGAGGAATGAGGAAAGAGGAGGAGAGCGGAGGAGAGCGGAGGAGAGAGGAGGAGAGGGGAGGAGGAGAGGGGAGGAGGAGGAGGAGGAGGAGGAGGAGGAGGAGGAGGAGGAGGAGGAGGAGGAGGAGGAGGAGGAGCCTTTTCCGAAGCCTCCGCGGGGCCCCCCTCAGAGGCCGCCACGCCTTCCTTGCAGGCCCACCCCCTCCGCCCCTCACCCGCGTGGCCCCAGGCCTCCGACGCCGTGTGGTCGCTTCCAGTGCGAGGCCCCGGGAGGAGGCCCCGACCGTTCGCCCCGGGGGCAGCGTCTCTCGCCCCGGGCCCCTCGTCAATGGCCCCGCGGGGCCCGAGACCGGGCTTCAGTTGGGCCCTGTCCCTCTACAGGGGGGGTATCCAAACAGAGTCACAAAATAGTCTGGGGACTGTTCCTTGCGCATTTCTGGACCAGTTTGGAGTATTTTATTTGGTATGCTTTGTTTTTCGTCGAACGCATCCCTGTGGGGGGACACGCCCGACTTAAGACTAGGCCCCAGGCCCCAGTCCGTCAGGCCCCAGGTCTGCACGGCCCCTGGACGCCTGCTTCGCCCATCGACCTGTGGGGACCGGGCCAGACAGATCCAGGCAGGTGCAGGGAAGTCCAGGTAGATCCCAGGTGAATCTGGGCGAAGCCAGGGACATCCAGAGATCTCCAGGGCAAGTTGGGGCAGATCGCGGCCGCTCCAGCGCGACTCGAGGGACAGCAGACGTCGTCAAGTCCTCAACGACGATAGCAGGCCCCAGAGGCCCAGAACCGCGGCTGGGACTGAACAAGCCCAGGCCCCCCCCCTCGCGCTGTGAGAAAACAACGACGGGGGGCTTCTCGCAATTATCGGCCTCCGCGGGCCCTTCCCGGGCCTCGGGGCCGTCAACAAACGGCCCAGGATGAAAAATTGGTCCCAGGGGAGGAGGAGGAGAGGAGGAGGAGGAGGAGGATGAGGAGGAGGAGGGGGAGAGGAGGAGGAGGAGGAGGAGGAGGAGGAGGAGGAGGATGAGGAGGAGGAGGAGGAGGAGGAGGAGGAGGAGGAGGAGGAGGAGGAGGAGGAGGCGGAGGCGGAGGCGGAGGCGGAGGAGGAGGAGGAGGAGGCGGAGGAGGCGGAGGAGGAGGAGGAGGTGGAGGAGGAGGAGGAGGAGGAGGAGGCGGAGGGGGAGGGGGGAGGGGGAGGGGGGGAGGGGAGGAGGAGGAGGAGGAGGGAGGAGGGAGGGAGGAGGGAGGAGGGAGGAGGAGGAGAGGGAGGAGGAGGAGGGAGGAGGGAGGATGGAGGAGGGGAGAGGGGGAGGGAGGAGGGAGGAGGGAGGAGGAGGAGGGAGGAGGGAGGGAGGCAGGAGGGAGGAGGCAGGAGGCAGGAGGGAGGAAGGAGGAAGGAGGAAGGAGGAAGGAGGAAGGAGGAAGGAGGAAGGAGGAAGGAGGAAGGAGGAAGGAGGAAGGAGGAGGAGGTTCTCCGAGTCCAGAGGCCGCTTCTCAGAAGGCCAGAGGGCTTCTGAGAAGCCCCGCCGCCCTCTGAGATGGCCTGCCCCCTCTCACCTTTCCCCCCTGGGCTCGCCGCACCCTGGTCGGGGACATACCCCTCGAAGCCCGAAGGAACGGGCCCACATCCCCATCTGGGAGGGCAAATCGGCCAGTGGGGACCAGGTCACGCCCATGGGGATGGGGGTCTGATGAACGATGCTCAGTTGAGCGATGCAGAAAAACGGGGTGGGTCGTCTTCGCCGACGATGGCGCGTACGCTGCCCGTGCTCGCTCGCGCTTAAGCGCCCTCGTCTTCAAGCGTAGCCTGCCGCGCCGGCGGCCCGCGGAGGCTGCGGCGTAAGGTCGCTGTGCCATCTCGCGTAAGACCCGTTTTGGATCGTCGCTCATCTGGTGGGGCACTGCCACTACATCTGTGGCACCCTGGACGCCGAAGGGTCCTGCATCCTTATTCTGGATCCTGATACCTTGTGGCGGCGGCGGTACCTCGTTCCTGCGGTGCCTCATGCTCCGTTCCTTTACTACCCCATGCTCCCGCTCTTCCTCCCCTCGACAACCACAGTTTTGATCGTCGCTCAGTTGTGGCCTGACGGCCCAGCAGACCTCTGCGGGCGGTCTGCGGGCAAGGCCGCGTGTCCCCAGCCACAGACAGAAGACAGCCCTGCACTTCTAGAGCCACTGAGAGCCCCAGGAAAGTGGGGAGGTATAGGAGGAAGGACGGGGGTAAGTAAGAGACACGGGAAGGACGGGAGGAGTCTAGGCCTCCTGGATGGGGCCGGAGTAGATGGTGTCGGAGGATCGCGCCGCATCGCCGATGCATCGGCGATGCATCAGCGATGCGGCTCGATGGGGGGCCTCATTTTCTCCACGCCGACGTCGCCGATGCATCGCCGACGCCGCCAGTGCATGGCCGATGCATGGCCGATGCATAGCCGATGCATGGCCGATGCATCGCCGATGCATCGCCGATGCGGCGAGATCCTCTGACCTCATCTGCTCTGAACTCATCTACCGGAGGTTGACAGACCTCCTACCCTGACACGCCGACTAGCGAATTGGCCGTTTTCGGTTCGCGAGGGGGCGTCGCGGCCGTCATTTTTGCAGGTCCGGGTCCGTCGGTTTCGGTCCTAAGCCGTTTTCCCGAAAGGGTGGTTTACTAAAGGGAGGCTTGTCCATTGCCGAACCTAGGAGGCATCTATATCGGGCGAAGAGAACTATGCACCGATCCTGGCAAGGCCGATCCTTGACCCAGGATGGGTGAATATGCCTTCCAGGCCAAGGTCGGAGGGCGTATGCACCGATCGTGGGCTCAGGATGGGCCTGGCCAGAATCGGGGTATGTGCATAGTTCTTGTTCCTCTACTATATCGGTGTAGGAGGCAGGGCGATCCTGTCTGTTCTGGTCCCCGGGGCCTCTCCGCGCGGGTTCCCGCCGTCGGGCCTCCCCCCCCCCCCCCCCTCGGGGCGCTGCTGCACGCACGGGGGTGCCCGGCGGGCAGCTGCCTCCCCACGAGGGAAGGGGGGCGAGCCCTGCAAGGGGGGGGAAGAGACATCATGAGGAGCACGGCTAGGGGCAGGAGGAGGGGTGGGAGAGAGGGGGAGAAGGAGGAGGAGGAGGAGGAGGGGGAGGAGGAGGAGGAGGAGGAGGACGAGGACGAGGGCGAGTAGGTTGAGGAGGAGGAGGAGGAGGCGGAGGAGGAGGAGGAGGAGGAGGAGGAGGAGGGAGGAGGAGGAGGAGGAGAGGAGGAGGGAGGAGGAGGAGGAGGAGGAGGAGGAGGAGGAGGAGGAGGAGAAGAGAGGAGGAGAGAGGAGGAGAGAGGAGGAGGAGGAGAAGAGAAGAGGAGAGAGGAGGAGGCGAAAAGAAGAGAAGAGAGGAGGGAGGAGAGAGGAGAGAGGAGAACTGCGGATGAGGAAGTAGGAAGAGGAGGGCCAGTGCAAACCCAAGATTCATCAGAGATGTTGGAATCAACCCTCCCCCAAGCTCCGTCTTCACAGGCCCCTGTAAGGGTTCATTTCGATTGAGGGGACTGTTTCGTTGTTTGAGGACCCTGAAGCGTACCAAAACACCATCATCGGGATTCCAACACCACGATTTAACATGAGAGTTGCGTCTTGACGATCCATTACCGCGCACGAGCACCATCCCTGGGACTTCAACACCACGAATCAACGTAACTGTTGCGCCCTCACAATCCCGAGTCCTTCCAAAACATGTGTTTCTGGCACGTTGACCATGGACATCGTTGAAACTCATGCAAATGTGCAAGACGAGTGTGCGCGGCGCTGACGTGAGAGCCACATGTTAATATGAAGCCACCCTCGAGCTGTGAAACACTTGCGACTGTTAACAGCGAGTATGCGCGGCGCTAATGCGAGAACGACATGTTGAACACCATTCGCCCTCCATCTGCAATTACGAGAGCGTCAAGGTCATAAGTGGTGGGGAAGTCTCAGGCGAAACGCTTGGCCCGCCCTTTCGATCCGCCTCGTGGTGCGACAGGGAGGAGCTCTGCTTATTGAAAGGAATGGGGGAGGAGGAGGAGGAGGAGGAGGAGGAGGAGGAGGAAATATGAAGCCACCCTCGAGCTGTGAAACACTTGCGACTGTTAACAGCGAGTATGCGCGGCGCTAATGCGAGAACGACATGTTGAACACCATTCGCCCTCCATCTGCAATTACGAGAGCGTCAAGGTCATAAGTGGTGGGGAAGTCTCAGGCGAAACGCTTGGCCCGCCCTTTCGATCCGCCTCGTGGTGCGACAGGGAGGAGCTCTGCTTATTGAAAGGAAGGAGGAGGAGGAGGAGGAGGAGGAGGAGGAGGAGGAGGAGGAGGGAGGCATGCAGGAGCAGGAGCAGTAGCAGCAGCAGCAGCAGCAGCAGCAGCAGCAGCAGGAGGAGCAGGATGAGAAACGGAGGAAAGGAGAAATGAGGAAAGGAGGAGAGAGGAGGCGGGAAGGAGGAAAGGCGGACTAATGAGGACTAGGAACAGGAGGAAGAGGAGGAAGAGGAGGAGGAGGAGGAGGCGGATTAGGAGGAGAGGAGGAGAGGAGAGAGAGGAGGATGAGAGGAGGTGGTAGGCGGCGAATAATGATGGAGGCGGAGGAGGAGGAGGAGGAGGAGGAGGAGTGGGGAGAGGAGAGGGAGGAGGAGGATCAGGAGGAGGAGGAGGAGAGGAGAGGAGGAGAGGAGGAGGAGGAGGAGGAGGAGGAGGAGGAGGAGAAGAACGGAGGAGAGAGGAAGAGAGAGGAGGAGGAATGAGGAAAGAGGAGGAGAGCGGAGGAGAGCGGAGGAGAGAGGAGGAGAGGGGAGGAGGAGGAGGAAGAGGAGGAGGAGGAGGAGGAGCCTTTTCCGAAGCCTCCGCCGGGCCCCCCTCAGAGGCCGCCACGCCTTCCTTGCAGGCCCACCCCCTCCGCCCCACCCGCGTGGCCCCAGGCCTCCGACGCCGTGTGGTCGCTTCCAGTGCGAGGCCCCGGGAGGAGGCCCCGACCGTTCGCCCCGGGGGCAGCGTCTCTCGCCCCGGGCCCCTCGTCAATGGCCCCGCGGGGCCCGAGACCGGGCTTCAGTTGGGCCCTGTCCCTCTACAGGGGGGGTATCCAAATAGAGTCATAAAATAGTCTGGGGACTGTTCCTTGCGTATTTCTGGACCATTTTGGAGTGTTTTATTTGGTATTTTTTGTTTTTCGTCGAACATATCCCTGTAGGGGGACACGCCCGACTTAAGACTAGGCCCCAGGCCCCAGTCCGTCAGGCCCCAGGTCTGCACGGCCCCTGGACGCCTGCTTCGCCCATCGACCTGTGGGGACCGGGCCAGACAGATCCAGGCAGGTGCAGGGAAGTCCAGGTAGATCCCAGGTGAATCTGGGCGAATCCAGGGACATCCAGAGATCTCCAGGGCAAGTTGGGGCAGATCGCGGCCGCTCCAGCGCGACTCGAGGGACAGCAGACGTCGTCAAGTCCTCAACGACGATAGCAGGCCCCAGAGGCCCAGAACCGCGGCTGGGACTGAACAAGCCCAGGCCCCCCCTCGCGCTGTGAGAAAACAACGACGGGGGGCTTCTCGCAATTTTCGGCCTCGGGCCCTTCCCGGGCCTCGGGGCCGTCAACAAACGGCCCAGGATGAAAAACTGGACCCAGGGGAGGAGGAGGAGGAGGAGGAGGAGGAGGAGGATGGAGGAGGAAAGGAGGGAGGAGGCGGAGGCGGAGGAGGCGGAGGCGGAGGAGGAGGAGGGGAGGAGAGAGGAGGGGGGGAGGGGGAGAGGAGGAGGGGAGGAGGAGGAGGAGGGAGGAGGGAGGATGGAGGAGGGGGAGGATGGAGGAGGGGGGAGGGAGGTAGGAGGGAGGAGGGAGGGGGAGGAGGGTAGGAAGGGAGGAGGGAGGAGGAGGAGGATGGAGGAGGGAGGAGGAGGAAGGAAGGGAGGAGGGAGGAGGAAGGAGGAAGGAGGAAGGAGGAAGGAGGAGGAGGTTCTCCGAGTCCAGAGGCCGCTTCTCAGAAGGCCAGAGGGCTTCTGAGAAGCCCCGCCGCCCTCTGAGATGGCCTGCCCCCTCTCACCTTTCCCCCCTGGGCTCGCCGCCGACAGGAGCGACCTCATGTTCCCCGCCATCCTCGACTGCCTGCCGGCCCTGGTGGAGACGCTGCGTGCCTCGGTCGGCCCTGCCACGCGATGCTGGATCGCGCACGAGCCTCGGGCAGCGGGGACGGACCAGGCCCTGGTGGACGCGCTCGAGCCGCACTTCGTTGTGCGGAGAGAGCGCCAGGATCGAAGAGCAAGTAACGGCAAAGCCATGATTCGGAGAGGCAACGCATCATGGTATTGATATGTTGTTTGTTCTAGACTTCCAAACTGTCCGAATGTTTCACACAAGTTGCAGAAATGGGGGCCGCTTCGTAGACCCTTCGGAATGATTGGAACGTATTTTGAGCCAATCGTATCATGAAACCGTTATCGTTCTCAGAATTTCTCGGAGGTCGCGCTGATCTTCTGGCATCGGCGTTGGGCCCCACTGTCAGCGCCTCCAGCGCCGCCAGTGAGGGCGGTCCAGCGCCGATCAAAGACGGCCCGTGCGGACCTCCAAGAATTTTGATGTTTGTGCGGCTTACATGTTTATGCCGTATTGCTTCAGGAGGGGAACACACATTGACACAATGAATCGCCCATTCCCAGGAAATATTTGAAAATATGGGAAGTGGGGGGGGGGAAGACAAAAACACAGCAAGTAGGAGAAAATGTAGGGAATATTGGTGTTTGTATGTCCTGAGGCCCCTTTCATTGTTGCTCCTCCACAGGATGCACTGCCTGAGGGCTCGCCAGAGGACCTGTGGATGCGAGACGCCTCGCGCTCGCCGCCCGCCCCCCCGGCGCCCTCGGAGAGCAGCCCAGCACTCTGGGCCGTGGGGCCCTGCCTGGAGAGCATCACGGCACTCCCTGCAGAGAGCGCGGAGGGCCCTGAGCATCAGAGGAGGAAAAGGTAGTTAACAAAAAGATTGGGGACGTTGTTTTGAAGATTGTTTCATCATTTTGGTGTGGTCTTTGACTGTGTTGGATGTGTCGTCCAAAATCCCCCTCTAGGAGGGCAGGCCCGACTTAATGCTACCCTCGAAGAAGAACAACCAGCATAAACATAAACGCTTGGCGTTCCGCGCGGGTTTCTTGGATCCGCGCTGGGTGCCCCCTGCGGCGCCTCCTCTGGGGCCGCCCCTTGGCGCGCTCCGCGCCCCAGGGAAGGGGGGCCCAGCGCAGGTCCAAGAAGTCCCTGCGGAGTGCCAGAAGTTTCTGTTCATGCAGTGTTTTCTTCTTTATGTCCCGGGGCGTTGCCATCTCTTGGCCTTGACGTGAGGCCCCTCCTTCTGTTTTCCTTCATCTGTTAATTAAAGCCGTGCGCGGCCCGCTTAGCTTCGACCGGAAGAGGCTCGCTCTCGACCCGCGGATCAAACAAGTTTTCATCTTTATACTCCTCCCACGGAAAGCCTCGTCGCCCTCCAGGAAAGCCTCGTCGCCACGGCGGGATCCGCCTCGACATCCTGGTCAGAACGAGGCCCCGGAGAGGTCCGGGGGGGGGGAGTAGCGGTGTCGGTGCCGCTTGGTGTCCCGGGAGGACGCTCCTCCTCCTCCTCGTCGTCCTCCTCCTGCTCCATCTCCTCCCCCTCCCCCTCCTCTTCCTCCTCTTCCTCCTCCTCCTCCTCCTCCTCCTCCTCCTCCTTCTCCTCCTCCCTCTCCCCCTCCTCCTCCTCCCTCCTCCTCCCCCCCTCCTCCTCCTCCTTCTCCACCTCCTCCTTCTTGTGCCTCGGGGCACGGTCGGGACTTCCCCAGGAGGATGCAAGGCACTTCCTGTTCAAAGGGGGGGGGCTGTCGCCAGGACGGCAGGCCCATATACTGGTCTTTCCAGGGGGGCGCCTCGTGCATTGAGAAGGCAAGGCTGTGGGCTTGAGTTAAGTCGGGCATGTCCCTCTATGCAGGAGAGAGTGTTCTAAAATAGTAAGAGAACAGCATGTTTTTTTTTTGTTAAGATATATTTGCGTATTTTCCATTTTTCTGAAAAAAAAACAATTCGTTTAGAACCCGCCTGTAGGAGGACATGCCCGACCAAAGGCTTGAGTCGCATGCGGGGGGGACCAGGCACGGGAGCAGCGCTGATGCATCTTGGGCTTAAGCTGGTCATGGCCCGTCTCCCCCTCCGGACACGAGCCGCAGCAGGTATTACCCCAGCATTCCAAGGCTTGGCTCGCAACGGTTCTTGCCTTGTCCTGTCCTCCTCTTCCCGCGCCTCTTGCTCCTCCTCCTTCCCTCTCTCCCCCGAAAACGCTTCGGAGGTATTCTGGCCTCCTCCGCGTGTCGTTCTTTACTAGGATGCCGCCGAGTTGAGAATTCGTATGTGCGTTTTCCAGTCCGAACGTTTTCAGTCGTTTTCGGAATGGCGCTCCCGCTGCAGCGTTGACTCCATCTTATTGTTTTCAGTCCTTCCAACTCATGTGCCCGCTGTAGCGCTAACCTCATTTCATTGTTACGATTCTTCCCACTCGTTTTCTTGCTGCTGCAGCATTGGCTTCGGTTCTGCGCTGCCAGTCCATCCAAATCGTGCTCCCACTGTAGCGCTGGTTTTACTTCCGCGGTTTCGGTCCTTTGAAATCGTGCTCCCGTTGCAGCGTTGATATCATTTTGCGTTCCCCGTTGTCCAAACCGTCGATTTGCATTTCCCATCTTGCTTCATGTCAGGTTTCTCTCTGACCTTGTTGTCGACATGAGTTGCGTTCTCGACGCGACGACGTCGCCTGTGGCCGTGCTCTTCCATGCCATGCTATGCCGTGCCACACCATGCATCGCGTACGGTCTCTGGATCATTGCCGAGTTCAACACCCTACTGTGCGAGTAGAGAGGGCATTCACGCAATGATGATACGGGATGGGAGGGAGGAGTACCACGTCAGATGTGACGCTTGCGAATCTAGCTTGACGTCCCCCCTTGTCGTCGTCGTCGTCGTCGTCGTCGTCGTCGTCGTCGTCGTCGTCGTCGTCGTCTTCGTCCTCCTCCGTCCTCCTCTTCCTCCTCCTCCTCCTCCTCCTCCTCCTCCTCGTCTGGGATCCGACGCCCCGAATAAGCATGCAGCATCGTAAGCAAAGAACATCGCCAGCACCCTGGACCTCCTCTTCTCTGCGGCGTGTGCCGAGCCTGGTCGATCCGTGAGGGCCCGGGAGCTCGAAGCGAGGCAAGCTCGCCCGCTGAGAAAAACGTGCAGTGCCCGGCTATCGGGGCTCGTCCTCGTCTTCGCCTTAAGTCGGGCTTGTCCCTCTCCAGGAGGAATAACTGGAAGCCGTAAGGAAATAGTCGGGGATGTGTTTTTAAAAACCATTTTTGAGTATTTCGGAATATTTGTTTAATCTAATGTTGTTTAACTACTTTTATATTTCGTCCAACATCCGCCTGCAGGGGGACCTGCCCGACATGATCTTCCTCTTCCTCCTCCTCCTCCTCCTCCTCCACCTCCACCTCCTGCTCCTCCTCCTCCTCCTCCTCCTCCCCCTCCTCCTCCTCCCCCTCCTGCGCCTCACTGCTCCACTCCTGCTCCTTTCTCCTGCTGCTTTCCTTTCTACCTCCACCCCTCCTTCTTCCTCTCCTCCTAACCTCCTCCTCCTCCTCCTCCTCCTCCTTCCTCTGCCTTCCTCCTCCTCCTCCTCCCCTACCTCCTCCTCCTCCCCCTCCTCCTCCTCCCCCTCCTCCCCCTCCTCCTTCTCTCTCCCCCCCCCCCCCGCCCCCCCCCCCCCCCCCCCCCCTCTCCTGGCACACTGGAGGGAAGAGGCCCCCAGGTCGCGGGGCCCGAGGCCCCCCAGGCCCGTCCGGCCCGGGCCGCCGAGCCGCTCCCCTCCCCCCCTCCCCCCCCCGCGGGGGCCCCCCCACCCCGGGGGAGGTGCCCGTGCCCCCCCGCCCCCCCGGGGGAGGTGCCCCCCGAGGGCGGTGGCCCGGCGGATCCTGCGCCTCGCGCGGCGCGCGGCGGAGCTCGGCCCTCGGCCCGCCGAGGCGGCAAAGAGGTCCTCGCCCTCACCGGGCCCTGGAAACGACAGGGCCTTTTTTTTACCGGTGCCGTTTTGCATTTTTTGTTGCCGCTTTTTTTTACCGGTTCCGGCGCCGTTATTCTTGTTACCGGTTCCGACGCCGTTTTTTGTTTACCGGTTCCGTCGCCGTTCTTTTACGGGTTCCCGCTCCGGTTCCAATCCTGGAGCCGTTTTTGTTACCGTTTCCGCTCGCCGTTTTTGTGTCGTTTCCACTTTCAAGGGACACTTTTTCGGAAACGGTGAAAGAACGGCCCTGCCGTTTCCGGGGCCCACTAAGTCCTCGCCTGCCTTCCTCGGGGGCGGCAAAGAGGGGGGTGCTGACTAGGGGGGGGGGGCACGACACTTCCCCAGATTTCAGGGCGCCTCTTCTTGTTTCGTTACGTCCCTGGCCCCCCCGCTGGGCTGCGCACATGCCGCCGGCCATGATTTGCACCCCCCCCTCTTAGACACCCCCCTCTTGGCCGCTCCCGAAACAGGTCCTCGCCTGCCTTCCCAGATCGGTATCGTTTCACCGATCCCAACCCGATCCCCGTCCCCTTCGAGACCCCCATCAAACTGCCACCCCAGTTGGGGATACACGGATACACCCCTCGAAACCCGAAGGGGACGGCCTATATCCCCATGTAGGGGGGTAAATCGGCCAGTGGGGCCCAGGCCACGCCGCTGGGGCTGGGGATCGGTTAAACGATGCTCACCAGACGATCGCGTCGCTCGTGGGCCAGAGGCCTTCCGAGAAGTTCTCTGAGCCGTCCCCGAAGACGCAAAGGACTTCTCGGAGGGCGCGAGGGCTTCCGAGAAGTCCCGCCGCCTTCTGAGAGGGCCTTCCGCCTTCTCATGTCCCTCCCTTCGCTCGCCGCCGGCTCTGGGCCCATGGGGTCAATGGACGAATCGGTCGATTCGTCCACTGACCGTGGTCTGCGAGGGAGAGGTCACGCGCGGTGAGCGCCGTAAGCCAGAGGATGAACGATTGCATGTTTTTTTGGCGGCCCCACTACGAAAGACCCCTTTGCCCAGGACCAACTCCTCCTGCTCCGCGCCCTCCCCAGAGATCCAACGCCTTGAACGAAACAGGGCGGCGGGCCGTCGCCTGCTTTGTGATCGTTTCCGTATTCGTTGTTGTGCCGATCGGAGCGGGCCCTCGCAACCCCCTCTCCCCCATGAAGTATATAGTTATTGGCTGGTTTGGGCGCCTGTTTCGAGCAGGTGGAGTCTCCTCCCATAGGAGCCACTGTTGCACACAGTCGCACTAGACAGAGGTCCTCCCTCTCCTCCTCCTCCTCCCCCTCCTCCTCCTCCTCCCCCTCCTCCTCCTCCTCCTACTCCTCCTCCTCCGCCTACTGGTCCTCCTACTCCACCTCCTGCTACGTCTCCTCCTCCTCCTGCTCCTGCTCCCGCCCACTGTCGAAACGCCGCACAAGAAAACGCTCCCTTTCCGGCCTGCGCCTGTCGACCTCCAGCCTTTACCGCCTCTACGGCGGTCCGACCTCCCGCCTCGAGCATCCGAAGGGCGAGCGGACTCGAGAAGGTCGTGCTCGTCGGCGGCGAGCGGGGGGGGGACGCGAAGAGGCGAAGGCCTTCTCGGTCGGCGGCGGGACTTCTCGGAGGCCCTCGCGCCTTCTGAGAAGTTTTCGCGCCCTTTTTGGCAGCCCTCGCACCCTCACCTTTGCGGAAGCCCTCGCGCCCTCGCTTTGCAGAAGCCCTCGCGCCCTTTCTTTTCGGAAGCCCTCGCGCCCTTTCCGGAAGCCCTCGCGCCCTTTCGCAGGCCCTCGCGCCTGTCTTCGGGGACGGCCCAGAAAACTTCGCGGCAGGCCAGGGGGCTCCTGAGCCCTCTGGGCACGCCCGCCCCTCCTCACTTCCCCCACGGGGCCCGCCGCCGAGGCTGGGCAAGTGGCCCGGCCCAGACTGTATGCCCAAGGCAGCGCAAGAGGCTCTCGCCTGGAGGGAGGGGTGCTGGGCCCGAGCCGGTGCCGCCGCCGCCGCTTCCGAGCCTTCCGAGGAGGCCCCTCTTTGCTCGCCTCCCCCCGCGGGGCTCGCCGCCGAGCAGCAGCCTGGACCAGGCGCGAGACAGACCTCGTCTGAGAAGGAGGTGGCTGCCGCCGGGGCAAGGGGGAGAGGGCACGGCCGTGCGGCCTTTTTTTTGGGGGGGGGGGGGGCAAGGGTGAAGTCGGGCGCGTCCCTCTACAGGAGGCGTATTCAAACATAGTCAAAAAGTAGTCTTGGGACGATGTTGTGCCTATTTTTGGCCACTGTTGAATATGTTCGGGGATATTTCGAACTTTCGCCGACGATCCGACTGTACGGGGGCATGCCCGATCTAGTTCTTTGGCTTGGGGGGGGGGGGCACAAGGGGGTCGTGGCCGTCCAGACCGAACCTGCAGCCGGCACGGAGGCGCCCGCGAGGCTCTCGAGGCAGGGGTGAGCGTTCTCTTGTTCGCTGCGTTGCCAATCGGTGCGGGCTTTCGGCCCCCCCCCCATGGAGCAGGTCTGGGCGGTTTGGGGGCGCCCGCTTCGAGCAGGCGGGGCCTCCTCCCACAGGGCGCACTGCCGCAAGCGGTCTCGTTGAGCAGAGGTTCGGAGCCAGACCCCCCTCCCTCCGCCCAATGTCGAACCGCCAGATACGACAACGTTCATATTGTGAGGACGCCTCAGGCGAAATGGCTGCCGGACTGGGCCCCCTAGGGCTCCCCGCCCCGCAATTGGGACTCTTCTGCTGTTTGCCGACCAGTATTGGAGCCGTTTTGGCGACTGTGTTACTGGGCGGGGCTAGGACGAGTATAAATCCGTTCCAGAGCGTTCGGGGACGCTCTCAGAGCGCTCCAGAATGCTCCGAGAAGGCCGCGGCGCCCGACACATCCTCCAGATCCGCTGGGTCACAGCGGTTCCCGATGTTTCCGTACCCGAATGGAGCCCCGTCCTGCATTCGTCTTATATTCTCGGAGCTTGATAGACCTCCTACCCTGACACGTCGATTAGTGAATTGGCCGTTGTCGGTTCGCGAGAGGGCGTCGCGGCTATCATTTTTGCGGATCCAGGTCCGTCGGTTTCGGTCCCAGGCCGTTTTCACTAAGGGGAGGTTTACTAAAGGGAGGTTTGTCCACCGCCGATATTCGGACAAGACAGCTTAATTAGGGATGGGGGTCGGGTAGCGAAACGGTGTCAGGACAACAAACGCTTGATGGAGCGGGATCGGGGGCAGGGTGGCCCCCACCCAGCAGGGGGGAAGACACGTGCTCTGGAGGAGGGGAGACAAGAGCTGCCAGACCACCTGCGCCTAGAGTTGAGTCGGGCCTGTCCCTCGACACGAAGAATTTTCAAAAGTGGTCAAGAAATAGTCCGGGGACTATTTTGTTTGTCTATTTTGGAGCATTTTTGGAGTGTTTGCTTTCGCCCAAAGTCCGCCTGTAGGGGGACACGTCCGACCTGAGCCTAGAGGGAGCTGGTGGAGCTTTGGACGTCCAGGGGTCCCACGTGGACGGCCAGGGGCCTCGCACATTCTCCATGCATCCTGCAGCCGGAGCTTGTTGCGTGATATCCGGTCTCGAATCAAACCTCGGGGCCGTGTGTTGTGGTCGCCGCGGCGATCGCGGAGTCCACAAATCGGGGCAAAGCTTTTGGCAAGGAGCGACAAACGCTTTCCAAGCCCCACTCGCTCTGCGATGTAGACGTGGCTCAGAATTCACAATGTAGCGACACAGCGTTGTCAATCCACGTCCAGCGTGGGCAGTCATGTTTGTTCGGGTAGGGCTTCGACTATCACGCAACCAGGAACAGCATGACCTGCGAGCGGGCAAGCTTGACAGGAGGCTGTTGGGCTCATTAATGAGGGAAGTCCCCAGCGGTCAGCGCCACCGCGGCCGCGTCGGTCGCGACAGAGAGGCTGGCCGCTCTGCGCGCGAGTCTGCGCGCGCTAGCGCGGCCACAGCGATGCGCCAAGCAGACATCGAAATCGCCGCCGCAGGGGTTTTGCACACCAAGCTGTGGGTGGGTGGGCGGGGTGACTGCGCGAGTAGCTGCGGGGGGGGCGGGGGGGGGGGGAGGAATGAGGAGGAAGGAGGAGAAGGAGGAGAGGAGGCGGAGGAGAGGAGACAGAAGACGGAGCCCCGATATCCGGCGTTGCACGTTTTTTTGTTCAGGCGTCGGAGAGAAGGATGTGGAGGGTAGGAATAGGATTATGAGTAGTGAGGAGGAGGAGAAAGGAGGAGGAGGTGGAGGAGGAGGAGGAGGGGGATGGAGGATGAGGAGGATGAGGAGGAGGAGGAGGAAGAATGAGGAGGAGGAGGCGGAGGAGGAGGAGGAGGAGAAGGAGGAGAGGAGGAGGAGTTGATAGCTCACCAGGCGGGCAGCTGGGGTGCTCTGCCGCCCGCGCCAGCTCCACGGGGGTCCGCCCTCGGAAATGGCGGGCGCCGCCTCGGGGTCTGCGGCGGCGGTCCACACCCATCGGGGGCCCAAGAGGGGGGCGAAAGGTGCACGTTTCTCCCTCCCGTTGATTCATTGGCTGACGCCGCACCGCCGACCCCTTGGGGCGGCAGTGAGTGTGAAAAACGGAGTTTGCGGAACGGTTTCTGGGGAATCTTGGTTTTAGTTTTTTGGGATTTCGTCGGGGGCGGTTGGGGGATCGCCGCTCTGCTCTTGGGCGGCGGTCCGCACCCGTTGGGGCACAAGAGGGGGGCGACATGTGCATGTTTCTCCCCCCCGTTGATCCAGCAGCGAAAGAAGGCCGTACACGTACATTAATACACGTTGGCATCGAGAATCCGCAATGCGCGAACGTTCGTATCACGCGGCCCGTTTGGCGGATTGGGGGACCGCGTTCACATGCATGGTTGGGCGCGTATATCTTTGGCGGGTTCCTCATTGATCGCCCCCACATTGCGTAACGCCCAACTGCTGGGGACCCAGTCCCCCGGCGCGTTCGGGCGGGTTCTTGGGGACCGTTTTTGTTTTTTGTTCCCCTGGCGATTGTAGGTATGACCAAGGGCCCAACATGAGGCGAACGGTGCAGGTTTCTCCCCCGTCCATTATCGCCCACACCATTACCCGTCGGTCGTCGAAAGTAGGTACTTTTGGATGCCCGAGTCCAATCTCTTTGAGGAGTCTGCCTACTTCAGGAGTCGCGTGGTCTTTCCTCTTCCCTCTTCAATGGGCGGGCGAAAGCCCAATCTTCCTCAAACGCCTTCCTACATAATGTTTCTACCCACCTCTTCCGACCGACGGTTACGTTTCTCCCCCCCTTGATCGCCCCCACATTGCGGTTTGCCCAGGCGCCGCGGAGCGAGTCCCCGGCGCGTTCGGGCGGGTTGTTGGGGACTTTTTTTCCCCCTGACGATAGTAGGTAAGATTTGGGTTGGGTGGGGCAGGTGTGGGAGGGCCGGTCATGTCACGATTCGCGCCGGTGCCGTCGGGAACGCTGAAGAGTGGTGCATTGCCAGACCGCGCCAGTGCGAATCGGTCGCGGGTTTTATCACGAGGAGGAAATAAATGTTGGCTCTTGATGGACGACGGGCGGGGAGGAAGGCCAGGGGGGTGGTTGCCATGGGGTTTCCCCTTCGGCTTCTGAAAATGTGGTGCCGCGCGATGCCTGGGAACCGACGAGCTGGTCACGCGATTGAGCGATATGACGTTACTCAAGGCGCAGGAAGGTGGTCAACGCATGTTGGGCTGAATGTGTTAGGGCCCTTTCCTTCGCAGGAAGCGGAACTAATAACAACAAGGGCCCGACTCGCTGCAAGCGCGCTGGTGGACAGTCAAGCAGTTCAGCCTCGCCAGGGTGCCTGATAAATTGCACTTTCCTTTCGTGCCGCCGCCCACATCCGCCACCGTTCTTGGTAGTACGGGGCGCAAGGGGGAACCAGTGCGCAAGTTCACATCTTGTGAAGTTGGATACCGCCTCGACGCGCACGTGACCCCTCTTGGGTCCTCTTGGGGACGCGGCCGCTTTGGAAGGGCCTCGGGCTGCCCAGGCGAGGGTGGTGTCATCTTAGGGCGGTCTTCGGCCAATTCGGACCATCCTGGAGAGTTTCTGGGCGCCTCGGATGTCATTCTCGACGTCCTTTGGGCAATCCAGGGGTTCCTTAGGGGGCCCTTTACACCTACGAGTATGTCGGGTATGTGACCCTACAGGAGGAATATTCAAGAATGGTACGACAATAGTCTGGTGACGATTTCCGTGCTTCTCTTCACTGTGGTTGGGTGTGTTTTGTTATCATTTTCGCTCCAAAATCCGCCTTTAGGAGGACATGCCCGGCCTAAATGTAGGAGTTCCTTAGTGGGCCCTTTGCACCTGCGAGACCTTCTGAACTCATCTGGCAGACATCTGGCGCCACACTGTGAGGCATGCGTATTGTGACGATGTTGGCCTCTCGGAGGTCCTTGGCAGAGCCATGGGGCGTTTCTTGAGGCCGTCCTCGAGCTAGCCGTGGCCATCCTGGGCCTCCTTGGGGCCGCCTTGGGTCACCATGAGCTATGATCAGGGCCTGTTGGGTGATCCGAGGGCCGTTGTCGTGGTCCAAAGGGTGGTCGGCCCCTTGCCACAGACCGCTGATTGGCATGTGCTACGCGTGAGGCTCCGCAGGTGCGGTGGCGGGTTCTAGGATCGCAACGTTGTGAGAAGCCTTCCTGTGTGCGTTCTGGACCCCTAGCCGTCCACAAAGTGCATTTTCAGTGCGGGCGGCCCCAACCTGTGATGCACGCGACAGCGGGGCTCGCTCGTCCACGGCGGCGGTCCTCGCGCTCAGGCCGTCTGTCTCACCATGGGCGTCACATGGGCGACAGTGTCCGGGGGCCTGTCGCTGCTGGCGGGAAGCTGTGCGGCTGTCAGGCGGGCGAGTGTACTCGGAGTGCCTTCCTGTGTGCGTGCTGGACCCCTAGCCGTCCACAGGGTGCATTTTCAGTGCGGGCGGCCCCAACTTGTGATGCTCTCGACAGCGGAGCTCGCTCCGCCCACGGCGGCG